GAAACCTCCATCGAAACTCAAGATGGTACTTTCATTTCTGTATATTTTGCCACCGATATAATTAACTTGAAATCACGTGGAATCAGAGGTATTTGTACATGACTACCAATCTGTGTCGTAAACGTGATGAATGTTAATATATTCACCGAGTTTACCACGTATTTATTCATTGTATTTCCCCAGCCAACGTAATAATTCAAGCGTCCGATAATTATATAATTATGAAACTTGACTAACGCCTTCCTATCACTTCCGTTATGTATCGGTCTGTTTTTCAATAAAAACGTCGATAGCCAGCAAATTAATTGAACATCCCGAAGCAGATCGTTTATTCATTGTTCACAAAATCAACTTACTGCAAAGCCAAACCGTGTTTTCAATACAAACACAAACTCAATGAAAGAGAAAACAATTAAAAAGAAATGAAAATTATAGAAAAAATTATATAGAAAATCGATATACGATAAATCGTTCTCTACCTCGAAAGAATAAACTTTTCATCTAAAACCCCCTGTCATGTTATTTCCCATTTATTTTTGCAAACCTCACATAATTAGAACAGATCAATCTCGGTCGCGCCATCCACCAAACAGCCGGTGATTGGTTTTCATGTGCTCTCAGCGCGTCTATTTGTTACCCATCTACAGTCTTGGCCAAAAGTATTAGGCACCTTTATTATTGCAGCGAAGAAATAGTTACTGCGAAAACTATTTCTTTGAAACCTTTCTGTTGTTCATCATCCTTTGTGGGGCATTTCAAAGGAATTTTAAAACAGTTAACAAAGTTATACTGAGCCATAAAGACCGATCCATAGTCTATATTTCGAGTTTCTTCGTAAAAGTTACAGCCTACTGCCAGTACTCGTTGTTAACACACATCAACTTACCTTTTATTTTTCTATTGTTCAGAACAGAATAAAGAAATAAATTAGTGTGATTGTCGCTTATTAGGGCAAAGGTTGGCCCAAAAAAATATGGACAACATTAATGAAAGATGATTCTTTTCACAATTTGAATAATTTGATTTTTCTTAGTACAAAAATATTTTTTAAAAATTCTTATTTTATAGGATGCCTAATACTTTTGGCCAAGACTGTATATCGTACATCGGTCGTTCATGATCGGACAATAAAATAAGAGAGTGGGGAATCTCGTGTTTTCGACAGGGAGGTTTGACAGAATTTATACAGAGTAAACTGAAGAACAGAAAAAAAGTGTAATTAAGCCGGAACCGGAATTTTCGAATCGAAATCCGCGAGTTCTCGTGTTCAAGGAACGTGTTTCCAGTTTCCAACGCGATGTGTTGTATTGTAGTTCCTCTCGTTAAATCGAATTCCTCTGTGGATAGTGTTGCACGGTAATTGTACTGCAGTTCTGTTTCCATATTCACTGATCTTTGTTGGAAGTTTCTAATTAGACAACGTCCTGATCAATTTATCTTACTGTTTGAAACGTCACCGTGAGAAAACGTACGCTTTCCATATCGTTCGTAATAGTTTTTGAAATCATCATGAGGAATTAATAATTATAAACTATTAGGTCTTCAATTCTGACTGTAAAACAATACACCGCGTTTATCAACTCTTGCAACTAATCAGAATTGAAAAAATGTATTAATTTCTGACATATGTGTTAATGAAATGGATTTCCTCTGAAAATACGTATTTAAGGTAAATATCCCAAAATTTCTACTCATTTAAGCGTTTATTCGTCATAAAAAAGGTGTGAGAAATTTTTTTGTTGTATACATTTGCAAAGTAATTGATTAATAATAAATTAACATTTAAGAATAGTATTTCGAGATGTATAATTATTACTAATGACTAATTGAATTCAATGTACTAAATGTTCGTATTTCTACTCACGAAAAATCGCGATGTACATATTTCTACTCACCATGTATACCAAAATGTTTCTTGTAATCACGACAAAAATTCGAACTATAGATTGTTAAAATAAAAATTATGTTAGGGTGAATGCTTAACTTAAATTTTATTTTATAATTTAACTAAATCCACAGATGTAAATAGACGTCAATTAGTACATATGTAACCATAATAACATTTAAGGAAACACCTTTAGGTACCGGCCGACTTCAGTTTCGACGCGTTCAACGGTTTACGCGACAACAAAATTACGAAACGTTTTTGTGGAACGCCCGGTTCCACATGTTGTACCACGGGGGAAGCGGAATGTAACGAGTAATTGATTTTAATTGCGGTCGCGTGGACAAATGTACGAAAAACCGTTTTGTAACGCGAATCGTGAACGACGAAGTAGATTTGTTTATACTTCTGTTGGGGCGTTCGGGAATTAATGGCTAAACCGTAGATGTTTATGCAAATTCTCATTTTGCAACTGTCCATTTTACAGAAATTATAACCAAAGAATTATTAATTTTGTACATTAAATGGTTTATATCTACTAGCTATCTAGACTAGTCATCTAGACTGCTTTGGTCTGAGTTCAATATGCTTTCCTTATTTGCTGGGATCACCAGCCGACTCCACAATGTCATTCTACGTTTAATCCAAGATAGTACAAAGACATTACTAGTCCTTGATAAAATTTTCATTCTAATATGTCTTGAATCATCGAAGTGATTAAAACTGCCTAAAATTCATAATCTGTTAATATTTGATTACCAATACCAACTGTCTTGTTATAATTTTTCTATAATTTTTCTATAATTTATATGCTGTTCACTAAAATTTCCTTTCATTTACAATCTGAAACGTTTAATTGAACAGTGTGTTTACGTTTGTGTAATTGTGCAGGTTACAAGCTATAGTTGAATTTAAAGAAAAGACTTCATACTGAATTCACATTGCATTGTAATGAATTGGTTATAGTTTGAGAAGCCCGTGTATCGATTGAATGAGGAATGTTTTTTAAAAAATGTAAATTTTGCGATCGCCTGTTTGCTTTTTTTCTTCTTCAACTCATTTTTTCTTATAAAATCACCTCATGCCCGGTTGTACTACCCGAGGTGAGACACCCTGTATGTAAGTAGCCTACACATTATTTCCTTGCGTACCCTACGTTTCTAGCTGTCCATAAAATTAAATTTATCAGATGCCAGTAATATTATCAACAGATAGTCGAGCAAGAATCTTCGATTACAGAGTCCAGACACAGACGAGATATATGAATAGACCTCGCATTATTAATGGACATTTTATTAATGTTACTTTTTACATGTTCTTGTTTTATTCGTTTTTATATCTTGCCTTACATTTGTATATTTGTAACAGATGAATTCAGAATAGATGTAGTTTCATAAATAGTTTACAAATCTACATGTGGGAGAATATATGTATAGCTACGTCGAACACGTAGTCTACGTAATTAGAGCTCGCTTAATGCAGATACCGGGAAATTTAGCCCTCTATAATCATGAACGCTACAATAAACGAGCTTCCATCACAGACGAGATATAAGAATAGACCTAACATGCAATATAATTTTCTGTAAATTAAAATCTCTGTAAATAACAATAAAAAAAAATTCAAACATTCTATTAAATTTGCTCCATTAAATAAAACAACTCTTTTATATAAAATATTTTTTCGTATTCGTAATAGTTAGATTAATATAATAGCATATATTTATTTATACCGGGCCTACTTGTATACATTGTATATATATGTGTCAAACTGTCGTTTAGGCCGGGCGTTCTGTGCGTCATCATGGTGTCCAACGTAGTTCCTAAAATCGGAAACTTTTATGTAGAGTGCGCTCGAATCAGCGTGATTTTCGTGGGACACCAAGTCCCATAAGATGTTAGGCACGGGTGTGCAACTCAGAGGTTTTTCTTGGTCGATTTGCAGCGCCATTGGTGATGTGACTCTGTACTAAAACGAGTACCGGATATCCGGGACGCGTTTGAATTTCGGAACGATTTATAATAGACGAGACAGGGAATGACTGGCGGCTACTGTATGAGATCCTGTATAATAAATTTGAGTTATAATAAATTTGATATTAGGTGTTCGCAATTTAATAAACATGTTTAAAACTGCAAACAACTAACATTATATTTATTATAACAAATTTATCACACACGATCCCATACAGTAACCGCCAGTCACTCACTGTCACGCTCAAAATTTAACATGATATAGAGAAAATATGTAATAAATGTAATACAGATTTAAAATTTCGAACTAATAACAAATTTATTATAATCAAAAAATTTACCATACACAATCCCACATAGTAGTCGCCAGTCACTCACTCTCATGCTAAAAATTTTACATTACATACATACAGTATACAGTCAGTTATTTGCTAAAGTATTTGAAATACCAGAAAACTCTCGTGTTTCAAATAATTTAGGAAATAAGGGACTGTATACTGTATAACACAAACAATACATACGATACATGCATACTACATTCTTTTATACTTTTTTACATAATAGTCCCTAGCCATCTTGCACACACAATCATGCACGCCACATTCATCAAATGACAGCTTTATATCTGAAAAATAAGTGAAAATGACTATAAGTATGTGCACACATAAGTTTCATAAAAATTGATTTATTCTATAATATAAACAAACTTACCCAGTTCCTCAAACTGGCTTTCTGCAGTCAGAGATGTGCCATCTTCTGGTTGCACCATTTCATCTAAAAAATAAGTAATATTGAAGGGAAAAATACATTTGCATGTAAGTTATATAAAAATAAAACATAATACTTATTCTTAGCCTTTAAAATGAAGTCGTCCTTTCTTGTGGAAAAAATACATACCTGGCTTGAACTCCCTCCACCGCCAAAACGTGTTTTATCCACCGACTACATAGCACTACATAGAAGTACATGTGTCGAAAAATGCGACTTTAGCACCATTGGTGATGTGACTCGGTAGCTTATGACTGACCACACTATTCTAATGGGAGTTAACAGCCCGTGCTATACCATATACCTCGTCTGTGACGAAGATATGCGATTACTAAACAAGACAAATTAAATCGTACAGAATTCTAAGACATTTTACGGTTCGAACACAGTAGAATTGATGGTAGACCCACTTAAAGTTCGTACAAACTTTTTTACAAGTCGTTCAGAGAATCACTTACCTTTAGCCTTAACCTCAAAAAACAATGAATAGATTTGAATACATTGAAGCTCGATTCTTCCCGAATGAGAAATATGTACGTTGTGATGTCAGCGTACGCTTATATGATGGCGACAACAAGGTACATCTAATGTAATTGTACTGTTTTAATAGAATAAAATGTAACCTTTTATTTGTTGACAGACAAGCTTTGAAGGTGGTGAATTAGTACTTACAACCCACAGAATTCTTTGGGGAAAACCTGGTGACATATCTGATGGTCAAACATGCCTTTCGCTATCACTTTGTCATATTATTTTCTTTGAAGAAGAAGCTCCTGGTCCATTTTCTTTCGGACGTAGAAAAAAAGTTATTATACACCTCTCTGAGGCTCCAGGTGGTATGTGTTGATCATACTTGAAAAATACTTCTAAAAGTTGATTTAAATAGTTTCACATAACTGTTCATTCTCATAGATAAGATGCCTGGACCATTGGATAATAGCATTTATAGTTACATAAAGTTATCATTCAAAGAAGGATTAGATCCAAACTTTGTTCTACATTTATCTGATGCTATTATGAGACGAATGTGGGAGTTAATGCCTATTACACCGATAATTTATTCTACTACTGATATGCAAAATAGTCGGAGCAATGCCAAACCACTTCCACAAATAAAAACCAGAACAGGCATCATAGGAATAGAAAGAAGTCTTCGAGAAAAACAAAAAGCGACAGATGATAGTATATCAATGGCTTTCCAAGATCTGAAGAAGCTTATGGAAATGGCCAAAGACATGGTTTCCATATCGAAAACCATCTCAACGAAAATACGGGTGACTCTCAACTGCTACTTTGTAAAATTGACATTCATAATCAAAGACCATTGCAGGAGAGACAAGGAGACATCACGGAGGATGAAACAGTCAGATTTAAATCCTACTTAATGAGTCTTGGCATTGATGACCCTGTAACTCGAGATGCATACAAGAGCAGTAATGAATATTTCAAGCAGTTGGCAAAACAACTGGCAAATATCTTGGAAGAACCTGTTAAAGTCAATATAGTTAATAATCACTATTAATCAAAAAATGACAAATTTATAGTATAATTGATTAAGTACTTTTTATAGGAAGTTGGTGGAATGATGACATTAACAGATGTTTATTGTCGTGTAAACAGAGCTAGAGGCATGGAGCTTTTGTCACCAGAGGATCTATTAAATGCCAGTAGACAATTAGCACCTTTAGGTTTACCTATAGTATTAAGAATTTTTGATAGTGGAGTTATGGTCCTTCAAATTCAATCTCATAATGATATTGCTATAGTTGATGTCATTGCAAACTTGGTAAGTATTTTATTAGAAGAATTTTTACAGACAATACGAGTCGATCATTCTGTTATAGATAAAGGACAGAGGGTCTCTAACAGCAGAAGAACTTGCACAATCAGAAGGTATATCTGTTCTTCTAGCTCGTGAACGATTATTAGTTACAGAAAAATATGGTAAAGCATGTAGGGATGACACAATTGAAGCTTTAAGATTTTATCCTAATTTATTTTTGGAGGGAAATGACTAACACTGGTTATCTTATTGCCATATAATTATAAGAATGTGCTAACTTTTAAACAGGCATACTTTATCTGTGTTATAATATCCGTTATAAGAAGTTCATATATTTTTTATGCCTTTACATTTTACATGCATGAAAGAGATCAAAGTTACATATTTTAAAAAATGTGAACAATACATTAATTTACAGATTAAAAAATTCGTCATCTTTAATTTAAAATTAATATCCATTTTAATTGTCTCACGATCATCTTTCAGATTACAATTTAGATTTGTATAAAACAAAAAGAAAGACAAAAAAACTTTGTAAGTGCACACAAAAATGCTTTAGAACAATGGTTGTATTAATATAAGACTACCAAAATGTAATTGCTAAATATTCGACAAAATACCTGTATATGAATAAATAAGTATGTGTAAACATTTGTAAATAAAAAATGTTAAAATTTCTACACATATGACATAACTTGTCCTTAACTATATAAGGCATTTGTGAAAGTTCAACGGTGTTAGATTATTTATGAAACAACGTGAATATAATATTATGTATCAATAGTCGTCATTGATCGTAATGTTTTGAATTAAGATTTAATGAGGATCTACAAGAATGTATTATTGCACATTGATTTTAGAAAACTTTCCAAGTACCTGTAGCCCTGCTACCCTGATCTGGAGTTATAAAACTAAGACAGGAAAGTAAATATAATCTTCATATAGGTTCGTGTGAAGAGAACAAATTCATTTAATAAAATAGCCAGATATACATTCGATTTCTTGAACTTTATTAAAGTGTCGTATGTTCTTATCGATCGCAAGAATTTTCTATTTCCCACCGACTTCATTGACTTTTTCCGCGCGTCATGTTTCATGAATGTGTATGGTCGTGTCATTGAGTTCTATACTAACGGTAGTACATATAGAGTTAAATGGTTTATTGCAGTTTATTGTCTCATCCTTTAAAGTTTAAACCGAAGCATCGCATATGTTCCCGCCAAATCATATTAGACACACGTAATATGAACTAAGCATATAACGCTCTATTCATGCTAATAATACTACAGTTGCTCAGGAACGTCGGGTATTAACATTAAATTAGAAATGATGCTAGGACTCGGGTATTAACATTAAATGGAAATGATGCTAGGACCCCCAGAAATATTAGGCCACGAAAATGTATTAGATGTTAAGTCCAATTTTATACCTCGTCTTTATTGTAAGTTCTTCCATATAACAATTCAACACTCTGAATCACTATTTCCCTGAGAACGCTGGGAACCAACCAGCAATGTATTCAGCATCGATGCATTAAATCATAGTGACATGCAGTGACATGCGTTCATTGATGCATAGAGGTTGGCAATAATGTACTCATCACAAGAAGGTGACAACGCCGGAATGGAATGAAAATTATTAAAAATGCTGTTTGTTTAACAGTTTTACCATTCATGTGACTAAAAAATGACGGAAAGTAACAACAACTACACCAATACAGTTCGAGATTAAGACTAGCCTAAAAATAGTACCTTATACTCTGAAATTAGAAGAAGTACCCTACCGTAACGGTCGTGTACACAATAGCACGGTTTAGAGAGATTCAGAAGGCTTGAAGCCGACTCTCTTTCAACCGCCAACGATATAAGAGCCATTAATATTCATCTATTATGAACGTTGGTCGTTAGGACTTGAAGAAAATAAAAGTTTCTTTAATACTCAAAAGAAATAAAACTTTTTTAAACTTGCACATAAAATGGCTTTACCACCAAACTACAAACAAGTAGCAATGGCTACATCAAACATCGTTGCATCGAATCGTAAGCATTATCAGTTTGTTACTTAATCTAATATATTTCTTCAATAAGTGCATATGTCACAAAATATTTACATTACAGAACGTCTTAGAGCTTCTGGTGGAAGTAGTAACAGCTCAACAAATAGCGTAAGTGAAACCTCAGTTGAAATTGTGTGATGATACCTAAAATGTATACTTAATTCTTCTGATAATTTATAGAAAGATACACCAAACCCATTTGTACAAACACCTCATAGCCATCCAGGATTTACACCACAAAAAGTTGGAAAAAATACAAATGTATGTACTTTTTCTTCAAATTAAAATTAAGACAAACATTTGAAACTATATTCACAAAAGTTAAAAGTGTGATAAAAGGTAATTCATAAATCAACATGTGTATTATAAAAACAGGCTGACTCGCGTATGCCGAAACCACCTAAGCCACCAGAGAAACCTCTTATGCCTTATATGAGATATAGTAGAAAAGTATGGGACCAAGTGAAAGCTCAGAATCCAGAATTAAAATTATGGGAAATTGGGAAAATTATTGGTCAAATGTGGAGAGACCTACCAGAAGAAGACAAAACAGAGTTTATTGAAATGTATGAAGCAGAAAAGGTATAAAGAGCATTGATATTTTGATATAACTACCAAATAAAGAAAAATAATGTTTCTGTATTTTAAACAGGTTGAGTATGAAAAAAGCTTAAAAACTTATCATAATTCACCTGCATACTTAGCTTACATTGCTGCCAAAAATAGAGGAAAATCTGGTAAATAGTGCATATTTATAATTCTTACATGTACAAATGTAGATTATCCTATGGATAGTTTTAAATATATCTTACATTTTTTTAACAGCAATGTGTGCTGCACAACAAAGTAATGATGATCGAGAGAGTCATGAACGTTCATCAGTTAGTACTAAAGGTCAGACAGCTCAGGATAGAAGAATAGACATCTTACCTGCAGAAGATGATGATGGTATGTAAGGATATTGTTACGTTGGAATATAAGTTACCACTCTCACTAAACAATTTAAATTTAAACAATATTATGAACTTTATGCGACTGTATATATGTAGAATACATAGAATTATACATGTTATTTTATTTTACAGATCAAGACGATGGATATTCAGTGAAACATGTTGCATATTCTCGATATACCCGAAATCATCGTCTTATTAATGAAATATTTAGTGATACAGTAGTTCCTGATGTTCGCTCTGTTGTTACTACACACCGTATGCAAGTATTACGACGCCAAGTACAATCATTAACAATGCATCAGGTAACATTCATTATTGAATAAGCAAAAAAAATGTACTTATTGCAATCCTCATGTTGAATTGATAAATGTTTGCAGAAAAAGCTTGAAGCTGAATTACAACAAATAGAAGAAAAATTTGAAGCGAAGAAACGTAAATTTATTGAAACAAGTGAAATATTTCAAGAAGAATTGAAAAAAGTAAGACACTACTTTTTCTTTTTACTAAAGTGATTATTGTAATAAAATATAAAATTTTCTTTTTTAGCACTGTAAACCTGCAGTAGACGAAGACACATTTAACAAAATGGTAGAACGACAGTATGAAGCTCTTAGACGAGATAGATTAAAAGGAACAGAAGAAAATCGTTCAGACGGACCAGCATCAAGTGAATCAACACCAAACTCAACACCTACTCCAACGCCTGCTCCTGTCAATGATGAAACTCAATCCGATGTAAGCAACTGTGGAATTATAATTGTAACAGTCATTCCTTATTATTTATTGTAGGTTCCTGAAAACGAAGCACTAGATAAAAAACCGAATGGGACTGAAAAGACTACAAATGAAATAAAGAAAGAAGCATCTTCTCCACCATACACTGAAAATAAACCTGAACCTCCGCTAGTTCAGGGAAATTTGAATCAACACGCATCCAATTCTGGAATGTATTGTGGGACTGTTAGTCCAATACAACAGCAGCAACAAACGCCGCCACCACCATCATTACAACAACAGCAGCAGCAGCAACAACAACAGCAGCAGCAGCAGCAGCAGCAACCACCGCCTTCACAACCACCACAACAGCCACTACCTCAGTCTCATCAACAACATCCACAACAATCAGTTCCGCAGCCGCAACAATCTCCTTTACAGCAACCACAGTCTACTACTACGGCAACAGCAGCGCCAGCTAATATGAATTCAAGTGTACCTGTTAATACAAGTGCAACTGCAAATGCACCAACTATGCCTCCAGTTTCTTCGCCAGCTCCACCTGTGCAACATACTCCTCACCAACAAGGAATGCTCGCCAATCATTCGATGCCACCACATCAAGGAGGACAAGGAACCCAAGGAACACAGGTGCTTCCACCTCAAGGACCTGTTTCTAATCCACATACCCCTCAGATGATTCCACCAAATCAAGGCTATGGTCAACAATATCAACCAGGACCAACCCAACAAGCTCAGAATGTTCCGTTAGCTCCAAGACCTCCGCATCCATCTTATACTTATTCACAGCAGCAACCGTACCATCAGCCGTACCCTCAATATGCACATCCATATTACCATCAACCATATTCACAGTACTCGCCACACGCTATGGGTCGTCCTCATGCCCATGGCCCTCATAGCCCGCACAGTCCACATTATCATCCACAATCTCCTCATGCCGTCGGAGAAAATAATACTGCTAATAACAGTGTACCTGGTTTAAACACTGCTTCTGCACCAACATCCGATGCTAATAATTCATCTTACTCCCCGGCATCAGGACATTGCGAAAACGAACGTTCTGTTCCCTCAGAGAATCAAGAAAGCCAAGTAGATATTAAATCAGGTTCTGGTTAATTTTTCTTTTTTTAATAATCACATGTCTATTTATAGAATTCCTTTGAATTTATGTAAACTGTAAAACTACATTCAAACAATATCAATGCATTTAATCAGTTACAATAAGAATTGTCAAGTTCATCCAGTTTGTACAATAAAAATGCATTATTAATCTTCTTTTTATTTCGAGTAGCGATATTGTGATTAGAACCATCATGTCACAGCATGACATGTAACTTTCGGAGATATCGGAGAACACATTTGTACAATGAACAAGATGTTTTCGCACATTATTAAATCTTCAACAATGTACAATCAGTCTTTTACTTCACAGGTTTCATTTGCCACAATCCGTCGTTCAAGTAATGACAATTTTCTATACCCACTCCTTTGTTCACTTTAACACTGCAAATTACATTATTATAAGGCACCTAGCACTTCATGTACACCCGCGAGCAAACTCGGCTTCCACTAGGGGAAAAAGTGACGTAGAAGGACAGTCTTCTACCACTCAGTAAATTTATTTCAAGTACTGAAATAAATGTTAAATTGAATGTTAATTTGGCATAAATTGTAATAATTTCCGATATCAAATTTTAGGAGGCCCTTTCCCAATACTACTTTTTCCCTAGTGGAAGCCAAGTGTGCTCGCGAGGGTACTTTGTATATTTACTAAATAACATATGTCTCAGTTACTTACATGTCTTCAGTTGATAATGTAGTAACACCAACAGCTAAAGCATGTTGCTTGCCCTCAGCCATAACAGCCTATATTCTTAAATTAAGAACTTAATAGATTAACAAATATTAGCATTGACAAATAACATATATAATTTAAAGTGTTTTAACAAAAGGATACAACAACTGTTCCTTTTTCTACAGATGTCATCTTTGCACCTTCCGACGTTAAACCTGGACACATAATATTTGCTCCACTAAGAACGAACCGGATAGCACCTTTATCAACTTGTTGCATTGGTAAAAAAAATGGATCTAAAAGTTTTTACTAGATATATAAATATATACACACAATTCATTACTATATACGTCCTTAATAATTTCTTTTCTATAAAATTTTTATTACAAAAATGAATGTGTCACTCACATTTATGTAATAATCTTAAAGTGGGCATCCAAGGTCCTTCGCGTTGACGAAAAAACATAAGATCTCCTGCTGTATTTACTATGATCTCTATGTGATCATGACTAACATGAAAAAATAAATATACATGTAATCATTTATTAACAAATTTCCGTTTAAGAAGTTTTACCATTTTACAATTCGAAAAGATTCCTTCTTTGGAATAATAGCATCCACGTGACTCTCCAAATGAGGATAAAGTTCCAAGAGTTTTGAACGAATTCCTTTCTGAACTGATGATTTTAATTGTTGTATACCAGAAACACTGTCTTTCTCGTCAAATCTAATAGAATATTAAATGAAACCTAAATTTATTAGCAAATAAAGGTTATATTTTCTTAAGAGACGTAATGACACACATACTTTTTAAACATCTTCCTGTTTTTTTATAAAACAATGCTACACGTCAACGAATTACTGACACCTAAATGATACATTCAATCAGACAATTCTTGAAATGAATGTTGATCTATAACAAGTTCGATGCTAGCCGGTGTACCTTACTTTGTATAGTTCGGTATAGTTATATATACTATACTACAGGCTCGTATGGTGCATACATGCTTTTGAATCAAAATATACACATATTTACACATAATATTTGTATCATGCATGAATACTTTTGAATGAACAATGAAATAATAAGATTCTTTCATTTTTAGTATAATAAAAAAAACTTTTATCCCTAAATTTGTGCGACTCGTAATTTAACATAATAAAAGCAGAAATTTAACTTGTATAATACACAAGGTAGTCCATTAAAAACAGGTAACCTTCTCAGGGGAAATAAGCACTTAGAAACGAAATAAAACATAACAGAAAATTGTTTTCACAATCCTTTGTTTTCGGCATTATTGATTTTATTAATATTATTTTAGAATGGAGCGGTCCTCTCTATTATTCTACAAGCCTGTCGTAACGATAACACAGTGGTATTCACAAATCATCGGGCGTGCATGACCATAAAAATCAACCTTTTTCAAGAATTATCACGATGATGATTTCGGCTAAACGTTATACAGAGACAATTAAATTTATCATTAATTGAATATTGTAATTTAAATACATTTTCAATTAAATTATGATCTTTTAATTTAAACATAATCTTAACTGCATGCTTTCTTGCTTCAGATTCATCATTGAAATATTTCCCGCAAAACATTATAAATACCCCAATGGAAATGAAATAAGCAATGTACGAATTTAAGTTGTCACCATTATATAGAATTTAGCGTAACGTGTATTTATTGCCGTTAGTGGCTGTCTGTGAGTAAAAAGGAAGTTCTGTATTGTTTAAATATCACGAAACATTTATTGTTTCTATAAAATGCACCGAGCTCAAATAAATACACCGCCGTCTCTGTGATAGCCATGATCGATATATATATATATATATATATATATATATATATATATATATCCGCTCGTCGGCGGATCTAGGGACAGACATACTACTAAGGACAATACTGCATTACTGTAGTACTGTATATACGTACATATAAATGAAATATAAATTGAAATCTTAAACATTCGTATTAGAAATATAATATCAGCAATGATCTAAAATATTATGATTTAGTAATGTCAATTGTATGAGTTGGCTACAATGAATTATTATTGGGGACTTTGTCGGTCTAAAATCTGTCGGAACCTATCCTTTTCAGTTCATAACGTTGTTACGCGAACACGTGGTTAAGTGTGTAATTATTGAATTTAAAGTGAAATAAATACGCAATCACGTAAGTAGATACGTAAAATTAAATTCTAATATGTATTCTTTATAGGCATAATGAAAATAGATTGATCTCTTTTAAAATTTCTGATTTTCGTACATATTTATATTGCATCTAGTCACGCAATGGCATTGCATTGTAATACTATTTAAGGCGGAATGCATGAAGTACTTTATACAATTACTGTAATATTATCTTGTTTTTATACATAAATTATAATACAGCATATAAAGTAATTTTATATCATGTGTCCTTGTAGTACATTATAGACATTTCTAAACTTTTTATATGATCTATTGTATACATATCATATCATCTGTTACTTCTTCCAATTATATTAGATAAGTTTTTGTTAGGTTGTATTGCACATACTACCTTCCTCTTTCCTCATTTTACATTTAGTATTATAGTTATATACATGTAACTGTGACTGGATTTTAGCTACAACTACAATACAATTTGTGTTAAAATTCTAGATCGATAAAACATTTAATCCTAAAGCTTTATATTTATTTTTTACTTGCAATTTGACTTATTTAAATTAGGTAGAAGGAGCTTGGTTTTATTGATGTTCAATGCATATTGAACTGCACCATGTTGTGCAAACATGAAACTTGTGAAAACATATACATAATGAATATATATATATATATTTATGTAAACGTGTAATGTATCAGCAAATATAATTTTGTTCATTTTTACAGAATGCCCCTTGCTAAAGATTTTCTTCATCCAAGTCCAGCTGAAGAAAAAAGGAAACATAAATTGAAGAGGCTTGTGCAGAAACCAAATAGCTATTTTATGGATGTCAAATGCCCTGGATGTTATGCCATCAAAACCATCTTCTCACATGCACAAATATCAGTGGAATGTGATGGTTGTCGCACGATACTCTGCACACCCACAGGTGGTAAAGCACGATTAACTGAAGGTTGCTCTTTCAGAAGGAAGGTTCAATGCTAATATCACAATGATTAAGACAATATAATGTACACATTTCTCTTTATATTCAAGAAATAAACATAATTACTATATAAACATCTTGTTCTGTTGTGCCTGTGTTGTGTGTATTGTGTAATTTTGGTTCATAAAATTGAACTGTACATTTCTACATCTTAAGCAATAAAATAAATGTAGAAATATTATTAACACAATTTGTCTTTATTTCGATTTTACATTCAGTTCCTCTATGGTAAATTTAACAATATCTTAAGTCCGTTTATGTTTATAATAAAATATAAACAAACGTTTTGGATAACTACTGATCAAATAAATTATACACATAAGTGATCTGCATTAAACAATTCATCGGATTATGGTCGCGAAATATGATTTTCATAAATTCAATATTAAATGACTTAATTTACTACTTATGAATGTAAAATTGCATTATACGATTGGAATATGCCCGCTGCTACTTCCACGGAACGTGACTTCAAAGATAACTGTAATCAAAATAAATAGTCAAGTACATTATAAAATATTTCTTCACATATGATAAATATTCGATTGAAAACAACAAGCTTACGGTGACATTTGGGTTTCCTGGCTGAATTTTCAGTTCATTTAATACCCAAACGTTGTTTGTTAATTTAAGAGATTGATACAACATATCCTGACCTTCTACATTTCTTTTGGCAATTGTAAATACATTGTTTTGTTGCATTTTTTGGACAACTTGATCTGCAGTTAGCATTACTCCTTTTAATGTGTACTGTACCTATAAAATTAATATGAATTATATATTTCGACTAATATACTGAATAATATCGGAGACAAAATTGTCAAACACCTCATTCTGGGCAGGTATATCCTTCCAAGTACTAAGAAATACCCTTTTATCTAATTGTCCATCCTCCGTAAAATATGCATTCATGGGTACGATACAAGCGAAATAAAATATATCAATGTTATTTTTTATTGCAACTTGAAGATTATTCAAAGGTTCCATGCGTTGTACGGCACCGGCGGTAGATAAGATTACACTCGTATCTATACTAGCGCCAGGATTTAAAGGACTTGGTACTTGTAATGGCGCAGCAGGAGTTAAACCAAAACTATTTTTATTTAATTGTATCGCGAAACCACCCATAGGCTGCATTGCTTTGTTTGTAAATGTCATATCCATGCTAATTTGTCCGTTCCTATTTTAACATAACGTTAAAAAATTTATTTTAATTATATTTTACTATATACTACAGAATGAACATGATTTTGACATATGTTTGCAAGACGGTTGTATACCGACCTCTGTTTCTATCCATAACATATTAGGTGTAGTCACTTGATAATTTGTGAAATATAAGTATTTGAAGTAATTTGCAAATCAGTGAGTAAAATTAACTAAAACTTAAAAAAAATAATGAGCTCCACGTTTTAAACACATCAGCAGCTCATTTAACTGTCTATGTAACTGTCACTTTATCAAAAAGATCGACATTCACACCAGCGTTATCAGAAGAATTCCCTACCCGTAGGGACAAGGTGACGTCACATAGAGCTATATGTAAATATATACTAATACGACTTCTGCGTGAAATCGTGACGTCGCGTCCCCAACACAAATATACGACCCCCACTACTCCCTAAGTACGTCACTTTGTCCCTACGTGGCCATGTTTTTCCTACTTCTGGCAACGCTCTCCTCAACATATGATGAAGATACATTGTCGTAATTATTTATATTTCTAAAATTATTGAGTGTCTACACATAGTATTTTGTGAATCCTAACAGGCATCAGTGCACTACCATTCCACAAAAGTACTCGGAATTAGAGACAGACAAGGGTATGTTCCTTAAAAGTTAATAGTACATACTTTCTCGAGAATGTTCCCCATATATCAAGTCCTTTGCCTTTCTCTGCGGGTAACCAATTAACCTTTGGTGCAATGAAAGAGGTAAGTCCTTGATTAAAACCAAATATGTCGCCAAGAAGTCCGGTTGTGCTTTGAGACACTACTGGTGCAGTACTTGCGGTATCAGTACCACCCAAAATTCCATCCAAACCACTTCCTAACAAGTCCATACCTAATCCCGATTGAGAAGTTGGTGTTGGATTAACTATAGTTGAGCCACCTGTGAAAGTTAATGCGCTGTATAGTTTACGAAATAAATCGAAGTATTAATACAGTAATCAACAACTACTCACCAACGTCCATACTAAGCAGATCACCTATTAGAGAGTCTTGAGCAGGAATAACTTGGGCATGAAGTTGTGCTGCATGTTGTCCTGAATCTTCGCTCGAGTTACTTCTAGCAGGCAATGATTTTCTAGCACCAGCTGCTCTACCTTCAACGAAGGCAGTAGGTGGTTTATGATACACAGATGCCAAACTTGAAATATGACATATCAGCTCGTCCAATAATGTAGGCTCTAACAGATCTGTTTCTTCTGAAATCAATGGTTTTTCAGCAAGTACAACTTCCTTGGCAGCTGCTGGATCAGTGCTAAGCAACCGCCAGTAGATAAATCCTCGATCTCTTAAGTCAGGATTATCGGAGTCTTGTGTCGCCAAACTAAGAACTTGCTGAACCAATTCTTGGGTATCCGTAGGACGTTTAAGAAATAGTTTAACTATTGCTGTAAGCAACTGTAATTGTACTTGCGTATTTTCATCGTGGAATCCCTCTAAGAAGCTTTCAAGGAGTTCATCAGCATTATCAATTCGCTCAGCGTATTCTCCGATTATCCATATCATAGATGCGCGTGCCTCTGGCTCGTCGAGCGTATCCAAATTTTCACAAAGAGTTGAAATTATACTTTCATATTTATTTGGATATTTTCGGAAAATGTCTTTTATGACAACGATCGCTTCTTGGACAACGTAATTTACTTTTGTTTGTATTAAATCCAGAAGTGTTGAAACGCAGCGTTCCGCGGAAGGCTCGACTTTGATGGCGCAACGACCGATGGCTCTTACAGCTTTTCGTACAAAATCTACGTCCACTTCAGTGGCATATTCTTTCAACTCGGATAAAACCTGAGCTATATTAGCTTGAGATGCTAAACGAATCATAATATCTAACTTCTCAAGTTTAACATAAATTGGATCGTTGTACTTGACAAAGAAAACTTTCATCTCATGCTTTAAGATATCTGGCCGTTTTTGTACAATAAGATTTATATTTCTCAACGCAACGTATGAAACTTCCGGTTCGGAACTAAGTAAAGTTACAAGTGGCGGAGCTAATTTCTTAGTTAAGGTACCAACAAAGTCCGACTCTGATTGTAACATTTCCATTAACTTCATTAATACCTGAATATGAAAGGAGATATTTTTAATATTTCAGTCACGCGATATGACTTTATTAATTGAAGTATTTATTTGTATTTGATACGCAACCTTGACAGCAGATAGAACAACTGCAGCATTAGCATGAGCTAAGCGTGGAGTAATTCTTTCGCAGATGCTTTGTGCTTCGCGTTCGTCTTTAGGTGAATAGTTCGCCAACGAATCCAAAATGAATACCTGACCCCATTCTGTACATTCGTTGAGAGCTGTTAATAATTTGTTAATCGTCTGTGCATTCATTTCAACTAAAGGTTGTCCATTTGGACTTGCTTCATTGATTTCCGAAAGAGCAGCCACCGCATTTGCAACAACCTAAATAGAATTGAAGAAATAAATACACGTATGTTCTCGGATAAAATTGTTTACACAAAAAGAGGGCAATTAACACATTCGAAACCGATAATTCAGCATATGAATCGTACAATATCCCACCATTTTAGCGATGACACAGCATATAGTCACATATAGAAGATACGTGAGCATTGCCGGTTTTTGGAAATAGTTTTGTAATAATACATTAATATCGAATGTGTTAATTAAAAAAATAGAAATGCAAAAAAGTCAATCTTTATAATATTGGGTACACTTGGCCAAACATTGTATAAATCCAAATTAAAACATTTAATAGATGTATGATACTCATAATATTGTATTTAAATATGTATTCAAAATGTTTTACAGCAAATTTCCTCTTAATATGATGTATAATATACATAATGTACTAAATGTGCATTTTCTTTTGTGTATTTTAAGAAAACAGGAAAAATCTAAAGTTTGCTATCTCTTTGTCCGAGAACGTGTTTCATATTAATATGTAAACAACAAGTAAGCATGAGACATTTATTTACCATAGGATTACTGTCTGATAGAAGATCTTTCAGTTGATCCAAAAATCCTTGATCTTCGACTAAAGCTGCATTAATATCATAAAGCTTGGCTACGCATACAGCTGCGGTCTTACGAACATACGGATCCTCATCCTTCAGGCATTTTCGCAGTGGCTCACAGAGGTACTCAGTAATCTTGTCCACGCGTATACATCCCATTGTGCGAACTGCTAATGCACGAATCAGCGGATTTGGGTCCTCGCAGTCCTGCGCAAAAATCGGGCAAGCCAGGGATTCAAGTCTAGTCACAGCAGTGGCTATCTATCTCAACCCATGAATTTTAACGAAGTAGAAAGTGGTATGGTACCTTTATCATCGGAGATGTCGCTAGATCCTTTTGCGTGTCAGAACGAAAAAGGTCAAATTGGTCACCGTCACCATTTTGATTAATTGTTAAATATTATACTTATCAACCATTTAATGTTATGTGATGCGGAACTGTTCATTTTTTAAAGAGCACGAGATTTCCTTTTTAATTTCTCTATTGTATAGTTCTTTCGTTCATAATAATGATATACAAATGAAAATTATATTGCAGGTTCTCGTATTAAATTCAATGTCATGCGCATAAAAATATGTTACATGTTATCTATTGAAACATTAAAGAATGTACATCCATGTGTTTATGATGAATCGCATTAAGAAATGTTAATCTGAACACTGATTACACTTATTAATTAATAGTAAAGTTCCGAAAAGAATAAAACACTTTGCCGTGCAGATAGTGTAAATACGCACTGCGTACAAGCAGCAATTTATAATGCAATCATACATATACAAAATGAACATTTAGGGAATTGGTTTTTTCATGCTGTTTACACATTAGACGTCTGTGATTAAGGAATAAATTTTCGCTGTTAAACACTGAGGCTCCTTCAAACATATTTCATTAAAGACCAATTACATCTTTCTTAAATGTATAGATAGCTGTGTCATTATTATACAGGATTCTATAAGCTGTTGACTTGTATATGACAATTTTCGTGACTTGTAGAAAAAGTTCCATGCTCCACTTTGAAATACAGCACAAAGTATACTAGTGCATTAATATTCAAGGACTAACATATACATTATTGAATTATTGACACACCTTTGTTTATTATTCTGCTAAGTATTACAACCTTAATAGTTCCATTCTTATTTCTTATGCTGAACTAAACTGAAAAAAGATACTGGAATTTGGTGGTAATAACATAATGGTATCACGACAGATCAATAAAAATTATGAATGAATTACTTCTTAATTCTAAATGCAGAGATAACATGGATTATATTTTATTTAGCCAAATTCCAGTCTCGTGCCCTTTGAAAAATAAGCAGTTCATTTAGAGAGAACAAAAGGTACATTCCGTCCCATAACGCAGACAGCTCTGTGCAAACTGATATAATTTGCAAAGCACGGTCTGTACATGATGTGAGGCAGGCTGTAAAATTAATATTAAATTTATTTTGAAAAAAGAAACATACATAACTTAGGGAAACTTCTACTTAAAATATTTTCCAGCTTGCCTCTTTGCAGACAGAGACTCTCAACATCATCCAAGTGTCATTAAAATATATAAAAGGGTAAAAGTGCATTAATAAAACATGATAGGTATTTATTAAATTTCTAAGCTACATTACCTTGACAAACGTGTTGACAGCCATGATAGCCATGTCTGGTTGACTTTTGGCATAATTCATCAGGTATAAATACACCAGCTTTTTCAGCTCCAAATTGTCTGTCTGCATACAGTTGACCACATCTGGGAAGAGTGCTGATACGTCCTTACCCACAGTCATGGAAGCTATGACCTAAACACAATTAACATTATACTTAAATAACTAATAATTGGTAGAATGTCTTTATGAAACATAAAGACTGTAATAATAATAATAATAACAATAATTGTCAACATGTGAAATCACAAAAATAACAATGTTATAGTGTTTAAATAAATTATAAAAATATAAATGGAATTTATATTGAATTTAGTGAAATAAAATTTTAAAATACGAATAGATTAATGAAATTAGTTACATAGAAAAAAAATTACAAAGTAATTTAACAAATGAATTGTAATATCATTAAAAATTTTAAGTTTTAGAAATTTATTTGAAGGTCTTCAGTCATCCTTTTCTTTGCGCAGCATGAAACAGATTTGTTTACTTGATGTTTATGAAATGATAAATGATTATAGGTCGTGCGGTCTGTAATATTAAACAAGAATTTATATCATTGTTTAATTAAACAACTTATTTAAACAAAAATACATTACCTTTTTAATTGCATTAGATTATTTAATAACTATGAATAAAGTACATGTGTATTGATAAAGAAGATGAAATCAATATTAGATTATAGTGTTTTTTCATAATCCACTTTTATTAAGTAAAGAACTAAATGAAGGAAATTAACTAACCTTTTTCACAGCTTCTTTTTTTTTCTCTTTCTTGTCATTATTTAATTCTGATTTAAGTTCAAATATTTCACCCTTTTTTGTAGTGGTAAAATACTTTGAATCTGTCATCTTGAATTACTTATTTAATTATTTCAGAAATTTATGATGCAAAAGATTAAGTATATACTCTGAAAAAGAAACAACTATATAGTGCGAGTGCAGCAGTGTAGCAAAATTAAATAAGGTTCCAATATAGCAAACCATGACAGGATCAATGTTTAAGATATATAGTATGATCCTACTAACTCTATTCAGAATCTAATATATCAGAAAAACATCTCTACTTAATGCAGTCATTTACAATTTTATGAATATAATAATAATAGAGATCTTTTGTATGCAATGTAATAGTGCTATATTGTTAAAAATGTCGGTATGTACACTTTTTTTTTACATTCTTGTGAAATCGTAGAGTCTTAATTTTTAATATTTACATGAATTGAAAGATAGTAATGCTACTTAAAAATATTTCGTTCTGAAGTACCTCGATTATGTTAAATGGTCAACAATTATAAAAGAAATCTAGTTTTGACAGAACATTGACAGCTACTGAAGCAAAACGCCCTTCAACCATGGACTAAATACACACAATGGATCCATACATTGCATACATCTCTCTTACCAGTCCTACCCAGCATACCCCACACCAACGTTTTTACCTCTGTGAAGTTAGCCGGACATCTTTAACTTTTTAACGTTTCATTATACCCAATCGATTGGTGGTCGTTTGGTGGTCATTCATGGCCTAATTAGAACATTTGGTGGTCACGCGTCCTTTTATAATTAAGTCATCAAAATTTGACTGTGAAGTTAGCCGAAAATTTGTTTTTTTCGCCGGATTCAGTTTTTTAAATGCTCAATCGATGCGTAATCGTTTAGTGGTCATTGGTGGCCGAATTACAACATTTGGTGGTACCACCAACGAGGTATAGGATAGACCTATCATCTTATGGGACTTCGTGTCTCATGTTCTAAAATACCGATAGTGTAAAAAGTCAGGGATTTTCTGCTGCCTGTTATGAGAACGGTGAATTTGTGAACTACGTTAAATCCATTCGAGCTCAACAGTTGAACAGTTGAACAAACTTTGTTCGTGTCGAATTGTTTTTGCCGGCTTGAACGACCTTCCTCCTTGAACGACCCAAACACCAGATAGTACGGCCAGGTTCGCAACGTCACTAGCGCTTTGAACCGACAGAGAGCACCGATATCGCGGCACGCTCTACCGTACTCTCTCGCTCGCATACTTCCCCCCATAGACCACCGAAATTTTTCGGCACGCGTCACACCGACGGAGAGCACCGGTACCGCGGCTCGCTCTATCGCTCTCGCTCGCACGCCGTGACGTCACCCGATTCCCGGAATCCCGCGGCTACGAGATGGCTCATTATGGTAAGGCTTCCCGCAAGGGAAATTGTAAGCCGCCGGTCAAAAGGTAGATTTAATTAATTATTTATGAAACTACATCTATTCTGAATTTATCTGTTACAAATATACAAATGTAAAGCAAGATATAAAAACGAATAAAACAAGAACATGTAAAAAGTAACATTAGTAAAATGTCCATTAACGATGCATTTAGAATAAATTGTCTTGTAGTTAAGTGAAAAAATATATACTTTTCCGTTTCATGTTTCATGACTGTCATATTTATCCCTTAACCTTAAACTGAAGCATCGGATATTTTTATTCTCGTGAAATCATATAGATACACGTAATATGAATGGAATATATAACACTTCATTTGTGCTAATAATACTCAGAATTCATGCTTTATCGGTAACGTCGGGTATTGACACTAAAATGGTAACAGGGCTACGTAGCCCTATGAACGTGGGACAGAAAAACGCATTGGATGATAGGTCTATTCTATACCTAGTCGGTGGTGGTACTTAGTTTCTATAAAAAACGAAAAAACGACATAGTCATCTGGCATTTCAGGATACAGGTGTACCAACGCACGTAAAATTTTATTCTATGATCTTGAACTATGAACTACCTCGTATGTGCTCGTATGGCAACTTCATGATCGTTTCATATTTAAGTATTAATCAGTATTAACAGCTCTGGTATTAATATAAGGGTATATCAAAACATGTTATCTAGTCCCATTCAGTCCCATTTTAACAATAGACGAGGAAAACATACAACCAGGAAAGTTTATCGTGCACATCAGTGCGCATCCGTTTGCGTCAATTGCATGACAGTTCCGCTCAGTTCCGCTTGACAAAAGAGGCAAAAAAGTCGCTTCAGTCGCTATCTAATCGCTATAGAATCGTCATTGTCGTCTCGACATACGTATATCAGCGCTGTAAAATGTTAATAAATGTATTTTTTGTTAATTTACCATAAACGTATGTTGTCTATTGGATCTTCACTTATCGCTTGTGTGAAAATTACTAAGCCTTCCTAACGATCCTCTACACTCTACACTCTAAATACACCGATACTGTATTCAAGAGTATTTAAGAGAAAGTCAAAGAGAAGTTCAAATAATAAAGCCGTTTCTTGTTTATATTCGGTGGCACTAGAAATTATACATACGTCCCACAAAATCTTTTTGATGGAAACTCATAAAAAACATGCACAAGAGAAATGGCGAAAGCGTTTGGCCTCTTCCTTAGCCTATTTACCTTGTAATTGTGCAAATTCAGAGTTCATCAACTTCTTGATAAGCTCTGTTTACCTAATCATCCACCCCTTGTTTTATCCCATATACCATTATCCAAAGAGGATAGGATCCTATCCTTTTTGCTATTATCTATATTATGTATGACTCATCTTGTCTTTTTGGTCAATAACTCTATGTATATGTAATATGTACACGTATGATCGTTTCTAGGTCGCATTTGAATTTTGAACAGCAAAAAGCATTACAAAAAGTCAGTACTCTTATTATATAGTATGTACAACGTGCATACTTCGGTTTAATTCAGTCTAATTTGATCATTTTCCAAAACTTAAAGCGCGACTTATGAATTCGTACATTCTTATACAGCATTTATGATTAACAAAATGTTTGTTCTTTATTATTATTTAATCTTCGTAACGATATTAACAAAGTATCAAATAAACTATAGTAGCGTATAATTCGTTCAAAATGTTTGTTACTTAATTTGTATTCAATTAATGTTTAAAAAGTTTGCTTAATAAGTATAAAAACTTAATAACATATTTCTCGAAAAAAGTTAAAAGTTAATATACATATACGTGTAATTTTAACAAATAATTAACAGTATACAGGATTTCTTTTAATTTCAGTTTTACTGATAAGCGTAGCAGAATCATCGAACAAATATTACATGAGTATTTGACGAAAAAACATACCTCTTTGTTTGCGTTCATGCTTCACGTTCGTAACAAGCGAGATCGCGACTTATCTGATTAAAATTATAATTATACTAAGATGACAATACGATAATAATTCGCAGATTACGCATTCAACATTCAACATATTTTACGCACAATTTGTATTCGTTTAAAATAAAAAATGTAATAAACAAAATAAAAAAGAATTTTAACATTTAATTGAGTATGCAGCAATCTTTCATCTTCCAGCTGAAATAATACGAATTTAACATAATTATACAATTACAATATACATTTATATAATAATGCTATGTCAAGGATATGAGTACATCACATTCAATTTTATGATACCGTTCTCAGTCCAACAACCGTTGGTTTTAAAATATTTAAAGCAAAATCATTGCAATCTATGATACGTACTATTAGACTATACAATAGTATGTAACAAAATTAAAATCTGTTTTAATCTATCAGTCACTTGCACATTTTAAATTAGAGGTATAATCAAGCTACTGTAAGCACGCTTGAACTTTTTCGATCCATTCTTGCGCAGTTGCAGCATCGCCAGCACAAAAATTATATGTCCGCCTGTTTGTACGCAGCTGTAAATATAATTACCGATTATATTTTGTATGAATTGAAAAAATGGCAATATAAAATTTCATTTTATATTTACATCAAAGAATGATTTATCATCTGTTTTCTTTGGTGGTCCTGGCATTGGCGCAGCTGGAGTCACGGACACAACTTCAGCTAGATCTGTAAAATGGAGTAAATCAATCTTTTTATATTACATGTTTTGTATATTCCTTCAAAGTAAACTGCAGACGATTAATATTAAAAAATATTAATTAAACTTAACATCAAGGTTTTCATTTCGTTGTTTTCTATGAATTCAGGTTTACTGTAAATGCGTAAAACCAACCCTTTACTTATATATTTTACGTACCTATGTATCCTTTGCAATGAGAATCTTCCATGGCATCGTAATACCTTAATTGATGTTTTATAGAATCTAATACGAACCATCTCTGTTTCCAACCCTTAAGCAAAGCACCTCGCTTATATAAATACCCCTCGTGTGTTCTATTTTCCGCAACATTACTAGAGAATTGCTCATAATATTGTTGCGAAGAGGTTTGTATCGTCGCTACACCTATACATTATTTATTTTGAAATTATCGGAAAGCTTCAAGTACATGATACAACGTAATGTAAAATTCCTACTTGAATTTACGCTCCCATTGTCACCACCGCTTCTTGTGAGTGTGTGTGTTTGTAAATTATCAGTCACTGCTTTATATTTTGTGCAATTTTTTGGTACTGCATCAGCACACTTGTCATGACACACATGACCGCAATCGACGCATCGCAAACCGGCTTTCACAGGACCCCATAAGACACCAGAACAAGCATCACAATGAGTTGGTGTGGCCGAGTCTAATCTTTCAAATCTATAAAAATAGAATTTATAAACAATAGCTTTCCGTCTATTTTTATATATTTAATTAATTGACATAACGACTGCGATTTAATACCTATGAGGATGTGCATAAACGGAATCATCATTTCCAGAAGTACTTCCACCAGCAAGTTTACCTCGTAGAAGTAATTCTAATGTAGAACGTTTATGAATTAATCGACCATGGTATCTGACCAATGCAGTGCTAAATGATGCGTGTCGCTATATTAAAAATAGAAATATTTTATTTTACATATAAATATCTCTTACTTCAATAATTTAATATTGATTACTAACAGCAAGAGAATCTGTGTTTGGCAGTTCAAGTTTATCCCAAAGAACTTTCCATTTTTGTGGCAAATGACCCAATTCTGTTTCTAATTTATGAATTTCTTCTAAAAGATGAGAAAATTGATCGGGTACCATTGTACTCACGCCATCATACCTGCAATATACGTTGACCTTAATGAGGCAATGAAGCAAACTAAATAAATATACACTTACCCTTGCGTAACCACTTTTCGATTACTTTTAACCACACCATCGGCAGCTTCTGCTTCTTCTTCTTGCTGTGAATCTTGTTGCAACACTTCTAAGTCATATGCAGGCCCATGAGCCAATTCTTCTTCTAAATAATACTGCCAAATATCAAGACTTGGTAAATGTGAAACAGGTCTTAACACTGTGTGTTCAGTATTAGGGGTATACATAAAATTATAAAATAACGGACATCTTGCATGCTGTTTCTCAATATAATCGAATATACTTTGACCGAGATTACAGCCCGTATTTGTCCCAGCCAATCTGCCGCCAGGGTAAATAGTTTCATCATCACTTCCGGTATCCACACCTTTATGATGACTTGTCAACGATCCCCTTTTGTCTTCTACGGCAGTGATACCACATTCCACTCTGTCAAATTCACAGTCCAACAAAAATGTACGGAAACGACAAGAAACCGAGTGGTACGACAAAAATTTTAAATAATATTCGTTAAATTCAAATGCTAACGGGAACTGCTTTTGAATTTGATGCACTATATCGAGGAATTGAAGAAACGTAGGAGTAAAGTTTGAAGTCTGAGAATTCGCAGCGAGATTGCTTCTACGTCCGAATCTATGACCGAAACCGAGCCACTCTTTCTCGATCAATGTTCGGAATCCATCGATAGTCCTATAATGTGGATCGAGACATACTTGAGCAACAGAACAAACTGTTGCTGTGGTATCCCAACCTTCCTCTAAACAAACGGTGACCGACGAGCCTTGTACGTCCATTAAATCAATAACAGCTCCAGCTAACTGCATTAAATTTTGAAGTTGATGTAACCACTCTGAACTTTCAATTAATCTGGAATTATTATTTTCTTAAGTACTTTCACATTTATTACGAATTATTGATTACCAAAAATCATATTTTTGTTTATAAATTGTACGTACTTGTAAAAACTTTGGTCAGGCTCTATGTTTAGGGTGCTAGGAACACAGGCTCGCATTAATTTTTTAAATGCGGCTTTAGTATGTCTTACATCGTAATATTCCACTGGAATGAAGTCTGTTTTTGGCGCTGACTCCGCTTTAACACCCTTTAACGTTAAAGGAGAATAATTTATAATAAAATTATATTATTTGAAATAATTTTGAAGTGCAGTATCGTACTTTCATGTGCGCTTTTTCACCAAGAATATATAATGCCGCTCGCTGGAATGTATGAACACACTCTGTACCACTATCTGAATCAGCAGAATGTCTCACAGTTCCACGCTGATGAACTGACGTTAAAGAGGCTTGAGAATTATGCCGCTTATCTTTCAACGAACCCCAACGTCCAAAATTTTTAGGACCCTTACCGCCCGATGAACTGCAAAAAAAATGGAAAATGCGATATATTTTGTCTTTATATTGTAGAATATAATTATATATTAGGTACAGTATATTATAATATATAATAATAAGAAGTATGTATGTACCCAGACCTTAATGTTCCAATAGCCTTATTAAACGGATTTCGTCGTGATTGTTCGGGAGTAGCATTACGATCTTCAGCAACTAGTAACAAAGAATCAATACTGAGCGAACTGTCTGACATTCCCCAAGCAGAACCTTGTCTCAAAGCAGATAATGGAGTCGCAGCTACAAGAGCCATTATATATTTTTCTTGTTCCAGAGATGATGTTGTTTCGGAAGATGTCGCTATTAACATAAAAAGATATGTAGGTATTCTAACAAAATGGAAAACTATAGAAAAATTGCTTGAAGTAATACCTTTCAAGTTACCAGCAGATGCTGGATGAGCTTTTAACATGCCTATAACACCCTTTCCATGATATCCCGCGCCCCTGATAAGAAGTGCCTTTGTTTTTGGATGCCTCCAAGTGACAACTGGAATTCTATTGTGTCTGTAAAGTCGACAAAATCTACGGATACTTTCATCCGATACTGTTGAGGGAACTATAAGGAGTGCAGGATAGCTCCTACAAATCATATAGGCGCAATTCACGGAAGATAATCGAAACGGTTCGTTCCTACGATTGCTATGTGGGCTGTTTGAATATAATCCCAGACGATACCAATCCCTGACGTAACTACGTTCAGATAATCGTTCTAAGGTTTTTGCGTCAGTTGGTGGTTGTGGTTGAGTTACAATACTCGGAATTTCGAAGTCATCTACTATAAAAATTGTACGTATCAAAAAACATTAAAATATAACAGTAATCTACCTGTATGTATCTTCATTTTGAACTCACCACTAAGATCGTCATCGTGACTTAAGTCGTTGTTATCTGTTACTGGTAAACTCATTCGACCAGGTGACGTCATAAATTTGTTATTAGTAATTATATTCATATTTGGCAAGACATACTTTTGTCTTTTAGACGACTGCTTTGGTTTAAAACCAGCCTTACGGGCAGTTTTTAGAAGTGTTTTTTTAGCAAATCCTCTGGAAACAAAAAAAGGGAACAGTTTCATTACAGTTATCGACATACAAGAATGTGTATGAATAACAGCTGACTTACTTAAGAGTAGCATTCTTTTCTTTTCCTTTATGGTGTGCCGTCTGTGTGACTAATACTTGGCCATTAAAAGCGAAATGATGAAAAATATGTGGAGGATATCGAGCTTTATGAACCAATTTCCTTAATGTTTCAATATTTTCCGGTGTAACTTCTTCGTCAAAGGCTAATTTTATTAATTGAAACGTGCAAGACCGTAATTGAAGGCCTTCTTGCAAACACTGATCTAAATGTGCCAAGTGTTGCACAGCAACTCGCTTTTCCTTGGTCAAGGATGTTACAGGAAAGGCTCGAACTACTAATTGTTCACAGGCAAATGGATCGCAGGGTATTCCTTTGAATACAATTCTGTAATTCGTGAGGAATATTGCTCCTTCTGCTGGCAAGAGTGGTGGTATCTTTGGCAATCCGGCAGGACTTTCTTCTCTCCCATCTGGTAGAAGATAAACGCGTAATCCGTCCATGATAACTTCTTCGCCGGGCAACATATTGGGTGTCAAAATTTTAGGCTTCTGTATGGGCGGTAATCTCTTACTTTCTCTATGTACAGCTTCAAGGGTTTCAATATGCATGTGAACAACGCCGGGTACCATTTGATGTAGACATCTAACGTGTTCGGAGCTTACGCCTCCTTCCGTACAAACACGATCTACGAATCGCGAAACCATGCGGATCACGGCGCTGCCAGTTTCTCCAGGATCAGTTTCTTCAAACCCGGATTCCGCGTCACCGCTGTCACTAGCCACGCTATTCGTGATACTATTACTTGCTCGTTCGTCATCGTAAACGTTATCCTGCCGATGAGTCTTTGCTCCTATATCTAACGGAACTAATAAATAAACCATTCTATTCGCATAATGAATTGCTTGACTGTACATAGTACTTTCTTCGCTCGCAATAAGTTCCTTTTGTTTCTCGGGATCGATCATCAGCCAAATCCTCATTTGTTCCGCGGCTATTTCAAGAGCAGACGGTTCTTGGATTTGATAAATTGAGTATCGATCACGGAAAGGGAATTCTTTGCCTTCACGCGGGCTGATTGGACTCAGGATACCATCGTTCATAAGCCGCGGAGGAGAATTCTCCCCGGGAAGATACAATCGTTTAATATCTTTCTGAACGTCCAAGTAAAACGCGTCTTCCCAAAATTGTTGGTTTTGCCATACAGGATGTTCCTGGATGCAAGTGTAAGCGAACTGAATCACTCCCGTGCAAAGTTTCCTGCAAAATGCTGTCGCGAGAGGTAGAAGTGCAGCAGCAACCCCGTGTTCATCCATGGACGAGTCATCTTGCAATGCGCAATTCATTAAACGAACTACAAGATCGAACTGCTGGTGCTCCAACATCGCTTTATTTCCAACGACATGCTGTGACAATTCCATGCAAAGCGCTAGCCGGGCAGCTTTGCTCTTTAATGTTCTCAGCACGGCAGGAAATGTTTTACGAGCATCCGATATTTTGTTCTCAAATATACAATTTATACAGTTGCGTAGAACCTCGAGTCTACGTGCAGAATTACTGACCAAGTGTCTAGTGTCATGGACAAATGAAATATGTGGACCCATAGGTACGATGCGAGGCTGTGACGGCCTTAATGACGATAACCTGTACACAATAAATTAAAATTAAATACGAAATGTTTCGAAATAACAGTGCCTGTAGTAACATCGTGTAATACAAACCTAACTTTGAGATTATTTTTGGCCAGACCTTCATCTATAATTGCTTGAACTTGCTCTGGATTGATACGCGGCAAAAGTGGCTGATGTATTCTAGCAAATGCCCCTTCGGGTGGTTTCAAGATTTTTTGTACATATGGCTGAGGATTCGGATTTTCATTTGTGTATAAGTGTTGTGCTAACTCTTGAATATGAGTTAAAATAAGTCCTAGCAACAACATAATCGTAGAAATAGTTTAATTGATCATTTAGCAATTTATATAGTCTTATTATTACTAACTGTTATATTATTATCACTTACTATGGTCTTGTGCTTCCTGTTTTAATTGGTCACTCAAATTACTGTACAATTCATCCCATACATCACAAGGCCTCCAAGGTGGTCCCCTTTCTGCAATGAAGGAAGTAAAAAACATACAATCCAAAACTCTGGTTGTAAAATCACAATCTGTCAAGCCTCGTTCTCCCAAGAAAGCAGCCTAGAAATAAAAAAAAAAAATAGGAATTTTTATTAACGTTTCATATTTATGTATTTTTCAGAAAAGAAATTGAGTAATAAGAAAAAACCTTGTGAAATGTTATAACAGGTTTGGGATGAATCCTGATTAATGTTAGACAACTTCTGTAGCCTTGCAACAATTGAGCAAATGTTCTCATGAAAACTGCTCTTAATTCTTTGTCTAACATAGGCGAATGAGGAGCTCTTGTTGCAAGCGGTGGAAACGCGTAATCTGCACAAATCAATTCTGGCTGTAATACTAAAGATAATGCATCTTGTGTCTGTGAAAGAAGTGGTTCTGGGAGTAATGGAAGTGAAACTCCATCTGGAACCATGATAGAACCTCCATCCAAATCGGCAACTATTACATCCATCTATAAAAAAGATACAATAACTGTAAAAGAATAACTAATACGTGGTAAGCAATAATATTGCCAATATATATGAAACAGATCTTACAAGTTCTGCAACTTCATATTTTAGTGAACTGTGCACACCCATGATGAATGGAGTAGGTGTGCTGAGTACTTCAACTAAAGCAGCTGGTAAAAGAGGAATGTAAACGTGTGTGTATCTAAATGGATACATTAGTGCGGTAAGTGCACGACATCCTTCAGTCAATCGCGAATAACTTGCAGAATGGAAAAGTATTTTGTGCTCCGTCATAACAGCGCAAAACAAAACTAATACATTACGTATACCTGCAACATAGAAAATACGCATTAATATGAAATTCTAACAGAAACATTTAGACGCGGGAATCATTTTATTCTTACCTAACTGTTGAAACAAAAGATTTACACTAGTATGAGTGATTGGAAGAGAAGGACTAATTGGAGGTTGAAGTGCTTGACGATCGCCCGCGCCAATGCTGAATCTTACTTGTGGTCCACCAGCAGGTGGTACTTGTATACAACCTAATATGTTTCCTACCAAAGTTTCTAGTGGTATGCCAAGGTTTTCTACGTATACAGTATATATTATACCAAGGCAATTCTGAAATGATAATGAAAAAATATATTTGTATGAGGGTATCTGTATTAACTGGAGATGTTGCAATATCTCATAAGAAAGTGAAAAACTATTTCTACCATGTAATGTCCCACTCCATACCAAACACCTGTTGTAAGAACAACTTTTTTATACCTTCCATTCCTTATGAGATATTCTACCATTCCGAATTGAAACAGACACCCTATATACAAAAATACAATAATTTGTTTAATGTAAATAAACTTTTGCATACTCTAAAAGTTTCGATGTAATCAAGTCTGGAAACCAGCACCAGACATTTAGGTGCATACATAATGCTGTGATGTGCAATTGCAGGTATTGTTCTAACCAATGAACGACTATCACCATCTACTGGATCTTCCTCTTCATCTACAGGCTTACTTGGTACAATCGATACTGTCTCATTAAAACACATGCAAGCACAGTAATGACGATTTGCATCAATATCGGTTAATATAGATACAAAAAACCGTGGTTCTTGTCTTTCTGTAGACAAAGCCCATCCTTGTGGTTGACAAAACTACAAAGAGGTAGATAATTAAATATAAAGAATGTCAATTTAACAAAGTGAAATCTTACCCATTCTATTCCTTCAATGAAGGGTGTATCTAGCCAATCCTTTTCTGGGAACCTTTGTAAAATAATTCCATTACTTATACCTCCTCCTATAATAAAACAAACACATGTAATGTTCACTACTCTAGTTAATAATTCTTATATGTCCTTTATAATAAAAGTACTTCAGTTTCTTTATAAGAATTATTCTTTCAATGAAAAATAAACACTTGAAATAAATGACAGTTTGAATATTTGATAATATTAACTAATACTATAGTGTGAATTGAACAAATTAAGTGTTGGTACATCCTTTCAGAGAATCGTGTGGTTACTGTACTCACAAGCAAAAGAATATTAAAAACTTGCTATGTGCACTACATTCCACAGTACCAATGTTCAATTGCTGTCATGTACCAAATTTGTATCAACAGTGTACATCAAGAGAACTATTGTGACTTTAGAAGACTAGTATTCGAATAAATTAAGAACTTACTCTCTTTTTCGTGGTCGTAGCCGACCACAACAAAGTAGTCGGCTAACCGAGACATTTCTGTGTACTCGTGGGACTGCGTGGGGGTGATAGCGCCCAACATCCCACGTAGACTTTAATACACGTGATTTCATGGACCGTATATCCTACCAAGCAATGACCAACTACCTTGTGTCAACGTTTCACGTAAACACGCATCAATATGGAAATCGATCGAGGAATATCAAGAATATTTTGGGATCTCTGTTCTATCATTTAGACGCCAAATATAATTCGGTGTGAAGGGCGAAAAATGTTACGCCGTTGTGAATTCATTTAAAAAATTTTGTCTCGTTCCAGAAACAATATTTTAGACGGTGGTTGAGATCACAAAGACACCGTACGCGCCCCTCAACGGCGGTTCTTTGCATTCGTCGAGTTCAAGAGACAAACTCGGCCGTCATTACAAACCTGCGATATTGTAATTTATTTTATAAGTCACAATATGATGCCACACCCCAAAGCTTTAACTCATAACCTTCCAAGCTCAAGCGCCACATTGGGTGTTTGTTGAACCGTTGTACAGTGTATGAACGAAAACGCGCCACAGATATACAAACGAGGAGACGAACGCGCTATAATTCGCATTTAATTTTACGTTTCCTTTTTGTCTTCTGCTCGAGCTACTGTGAGCACCTTAAATCTGAAAACATACGCATTATTATAGATGTTACTCCTTACAACTTTATAGCCCGTTCTGGTCCGTTCATAGTAATCGTTGCATAATAGGTGCATGTGAAACGGATTCGTATTATACACTATACCATACGTATACAAAATAAAATCGTTGCATAATAGGTGCATGTGAAACGGATTCGTATTATACACTATACCATACGTATACAATGTGCCCGGTTTAAATATAATGTCTCGGAAATAGTGTTGTATAAAGCTCGAGTCTTTGAAGCTACAAAGCTTAGCCTTAAAGACTCAGTCTTTAAGGCTAAAATCATATGAAGCTCGCGGCTCGAGGCTCGAAACTCGAGCTTTAAGGCTGGGGTCTCGAGGCTCATTTTAACAACACTACTCGGAAAACATACATAAAATGTTAACACACTGGAAGATCATTTTGAGCCTTTTGAGCGAATAATATCACATGAACATAAACCTTACAAGTAAAACCTTAAATTATTTAGAAAATTAATCGATGTGTGTAAAATAGCTTTATTGAATGAAGTACAATCAAATGGTAATTATTAAAGAATTAATGTAAAATTATTTCAATTTAATTTATTATGATAAAATAGTACACATTGTGTTACATACCGCTCCTATTAATATTCTGATTCGTGTGCGAATGAACTCTAAGAAATACTATAGTTGCTGAAAGTATATATATGTATATACCATGTATACTTAATTGATAACCATGTAACTAACCTTGTTGATTGTTGTCACGTGGAATAAATTGAACTCGTTCTACCGGAAAAGAAAAATTAGTACACAATAAAAAGTAGAGAATTTTCTAAAGTTGTTCCCGTGCAGGTACGTTCAATTCATTTGTGAATAATTAAATACTTCATAAATGGTTTGAAAGGTACGTACATATGTATTTGTAACATACATATATGTAATTGTAAACAGAAATTTTCAAATTTTACAGAGTCAAAATGAGTTCTGAAACGATGAGTATATCTCAGATATTTCTTGAAACAGCTGCAGATGCAAAAGTGGGATTTACTATTGCAGCAATAATAGGTTATTGTTTATATAGAATAATAGCAATAACAAATAGAAGAAGATTAAAAGAACCTGAGGATTTCAATGAGTCTACAAACAATGTAGTAAGTAAAAAATATTAAAAGTTGTACAATTACATTTTTCCATAAAAGAAAAATTTTTCCAAAGCCGAAAGGCACAGGATAATGGAAATAAATAATGTATAATAACAGAAAGATAATAAAGGAATATTACTTTTAAGACTTTTTCTTTCAAATAGGTATACACAGATGAATATGACAATTACAAGCTTATTTTGGTAATCAGAACTGATTTAAAAATGGGAAAAGGAAAAGTTGCGGCACAATGTGCTCATGCTGCTGTTGCAGCATATAAAGCAGCCATAAAACATCCAAAAATTTTACAATCTTGGGAAGAATGTGGGCAAGCCAAAATTACTGTCAAAGTACGTTTTTTATTTATTAAATTTCATAAACTCAATATTATTCAGATTGAATTTCTGTATTAAACTGAGGCACTGTTTAAAAAAATTTGCAGGTAGACAGTGAAGATGCTTTAAAAGAAATCGCAAAACAAGCAAGAGCTGTAGGACTTTTATCAAATGTAATACAAGATGCTGGGCACACCCAAATAGCACCAGGAAGCAGAACTGTATGTGCAATTGGTCCAGGTCCAGCTCCACTGATAGATCAAGTAACTGGTCATTTGAAATTGTTTTAATAAAATTTTAAACAAAGATACTCTTTTTCTTATTTGGGTTTTATATGTTCATAATGTCTACTAAATCCATTTTTTAAAGATTCATTGCATTCATAATCAATAAAACTTTCATTGTATCTTGATTATAACTGAAAATACAGACTTTTATTTTAAAAAAAGACCAAAGCATTAAAAAGTGATAATATATTTATAAAACGTGGAAAAGTACAGATTGCTGAAATACATTCTGTAATTTGAAATTTATTCTCAGTCTGCAATGTATAGCTTTAATTATGTAATAACATTTTGCACATAGTAGTATATGTTTTTAGTATTAAATTTCAACACAACATTATCTTACACGTTCGTCTTAATAATAATATAATACATTTTTGCGTTAACAAGTACAGGTATAGCATTGGGTGTTATTGTAAACAGTATGCTCTTAATATTAAATTTTATTAATTATCGATGTAAGTAGATATAGCTAATGTCATGTTAAAAAAATCTTGCCGTATAAACATAAAATGGGATAGCGTGGATAGAATTATGTTGTTATCATGTATGCAATTACCATGAATCATTCCCAACTCTGATCACAAAACATTGCAAATTAGTTTCCAATAAAATATCTTCCATTCTTTGGTACCCAGTACTATTATCCACATAAAATATTATTTAATACTTATAAATATTATATAAATAATCTATACCGGAGGAGGAGGTGCTTTACGATGGATTTTGTTTGAGCTAGTAGCACTGCATTGTGATTCAGCAATGGATCTACCATCTGCCTCATCACGTCGACACAATTCAGATTCATTTTGTATCCAATGTTGAGTCTGATTGTGACTTGTTTGTGTCGATTGTGTTTCCTCGTTGTCCGGAACAGAACCCACTTCCTCTAGTAATTTTGACAAAGATGGCGCTAATCCTAATCCTAAATTTCGCTCATGATACACTTCTGAAATTGTCGGCGTTAATTCACGCGTAAGACTTGTGAGAGACGTCGCCACATTCCTGAGATTTTGATTATGCGTTTCCGCAGGTTGCGTGGTGTCAGACTGAGAACAAATATCTTCAGTTGTCGTGGGGTGACGCGGTTTCCTTGGAGAATTAGATCCAATTTCTGTTCTAACACTTAATCTTTCTAAGATAGTCGCTGGTAAAGGAGGTAATGGTTGCCGTCTTAACACAGTCGCATGCCCATTATCCCAGTCTGTTACTGAACTGCTTGAACTAGATCCAGGTCTTATGCTTTGATCAGGATAAAGGTTTCTAATGTGCGTTTGGTGATTTAAATTGAGTGCTACAGGAGGACTGGGAGTAAAAGCAACATCCGACTCGCCTATAAGACATGGTACATTTTTAATGTTATATATGCATTACCTGTTATATATGCTTTTAAAGAGAACTCATTTTTACCTCCTCCGTTTTGACATGGCTGACGAGATGTAGGAATAGGAACGTTTGGTGGTTCCATAGTTTTTCCATCCGGTTCACCTCGATGTCGAACATAATTCGCAAACGCACCTCCTAGACGAGGCCGTTCTATGACATTTTTCTCAGTATGAGCAACAGAAGCTAAGCTTTCCATTGAACTGCTAGAGTCTAAGCTTAAACTTTTGGGTGCTTCTTGCGTATCTGATAACACATTAATAAATAAATACGTTTTGTTTTACTAATATTTCTATTTTTATAATTAACTTAGTTTTACCAAACAAGGCAAGAAGAGCTTGAAGAGCGAATTGAACAGCTCTTCGTGATGCTTGCTTTCCTGTTCTCAATGTCACTTCAGACTGTCCAACTTCCATAAGATCAAAACCTAAACTCGCGAACAATTCATGAGAGCCGGATGCTCTCCACACTTGTACCGGTAATGTAACTTCTTGACCTTCTGTTGCACAACTAGCTCTTCTCATTGCTGCGATAACATCCTCTGCAGCTTCTGGTGCCTATGAAATGAAAAGACTATCTTTAGTCTAGTACATTATTATCATCTCTATCGCAATGAGCAGACTCTTCTCAATTACTTGTAATAGCCTGACAAGTGCATGCAAAGATGATGGACCCAATCCTAGCAATGCTTGCAAGCTAGCACTACATCTTGTTAATCTTTCTTCGGGATCACTTTGCGGGAAAAATACGGAGGACGGAATCCCGTTTCCGGCTGGTTCAAATCGAAATCCCACTGACATTAAAAGTTCTCTCCAACCTGTAGCTGCACCTACTTTGTTTTCAATACTACGTTGAGTTGTGTACATAGCATTTTTCTGTCCCCGGTGTATTCGTTGGAGTGATTTTTCAACTAAGTGAAGTGTTACACGTAAAGCATCACGACTTTGTTCAGGACCACCACGCAATAGTTCAGCAAGTGCTTGTCCCATTAGAGCAACCTGAATAAATAATTTGTGAACAGTCGCATGCATATAAATAAATTAATTACATTAAATATAGAGATTGTATACTTTATTCGATAATCTCGCGTCCCCGCCAACGAGTAGCCAACCAGCCCAATTTGCAGGATGAGCGAAATGCCTTGTGTGCTGAACTGTTTGCATCGCTTCTGCCAATGCTCTTGATGCTCGAGCGCCTTGTAACATAGCGCTATAAAATGCTCGTAATAAAATACTGCCAGCCGTGGGTGGAACAGCCCACATTCCAATAAGTACACACTGTGCTCCGGCATTTAGTAAAGCCCTGGCTAAATTTTGTACACCGTCTGCTGTAGCACTTGTATTGTCTGTGTTATTCCAACAGTGGCCACCGGATATGACCACTAAACGCGCAGATATTCTCAACTTTGCAATATCTGTATAACTTAATAGATACTCTGGCCTTTCAGAGGCTTCTTCGCATTGATCGGCAGTTAACACCAGACTACTGGAGTTCCAGAAAACTGGTACTGTCAAGTGTACACATTCTGCGTCCGGTAAAGATCTTAGAACAGCTGACCTAGTTGCTTCTGCCCCTAATTCATGAAAACAAAGTAATTTGTTAGCGAGTAATTTTGCAATGTTCTATAGTACGTTAATAGTTACCAGTTATTGCACGAGCTTCCAGTAGTTCAGCAACAATCTCAGATTCTGTTTCGGTAGAAGATACGCTTTCAGACCACCCATACTCTTCTCTGAGTTCTTCGGAAAGTATAGGATTTCCTGCAACTAACGCGGCTACCGTGGCGCCACCCTCTGGCATAGGTGTTTTTGATCGTTTTCTCAAAGCTGCAAGAGATGGTACAACTAATAAGGAAAATCTTTCGCACAGATAATCTTCTCCAGGATTCGATTGTAACGCTGGAAGTGGTGCCAAATACAACGATTTCTCCACTACCATAATTAATTCCTTCCTTGCAGGCGGTAAAAGATCTTCGAATGGGGCTAAAAGTAAATCGTACAGTACTTGAATCGGCAGTGGGGGTTGCCATGTTGGTCCCTTCGTTCCTCGTCCCCATCGAGCACTTCCTGCTCGGGAACTGACCGAACCCACGCTAAATAAACTACTCAAGCTATAAGAACTAGCGTTAAGATGTCCTCGTGACGGTGTTTTTGTTTCTTCGACAAGTTCACTCGTTTCATCTAAGAGAGCTTCCCGTGCTTGCAAAACTCGTTTTTCCAATCCTATGCCATCATCCAAAGTAGTAGAATGAAACCGCAACAAACCTCGACCAGGAGCTAAGCACCAAGCATGTAATTCGCAATCTACTTCACTGAAATATTATTATATTATGTTTATCGATGGTATTATAAAATTATAATAATTCATTATGTCAATGTTGTTTGATTTAATCTACCTATAATACAATATAACTCCACGTTGCCTATCAATGATTTCCGAATAATGTGCAGCATCATCCAAACAGTTACTTTTAGAACGTCTCGATCTTTCTGCCCAGTTTAGAGCTTCTTCAGCTCTGTTTAAACTAATCAATACTTTTTGTAACATTCTATACGTTTCTGATAACAATTCGGACTTGCCCGGTTGTCCACAAATAAGGACAGAAGAGGTTCCATCTAATGATTCGAATAAATTTGCCGCTTTTTCCAAATGCTCTACAGAAATAGACGCTTCACCAGCTTCCCAGTGAACAAGTCCAAGTCTGTGCCTCAATCTAGCTGCTTCCTCTCTTCTTCCTAAACCTTCAGATAATGATAGCCCAGATTGCAGGTAACTTAAGGCTCGTGACAAGTCACCACATAAATGATGAAGACGTCCTAAACTAGAAAATGCAGCTGCCCTAGCTGGCTGATCACCAGCTGCTGCTGCAAGACTTAATGATTGTTCTTGCAATCTTATGGCCTCTTCAAATTGCCCTAATGCTTCTTGGGTTATGCCCAAATTCGCACAAGCTCTAGCTTGTAATCCAGCTGCGTCTAAACCTTCGGCGATCGACAGTTCCAATTGGTGGTGACGCAAAGCAGAATTTGGATCATGCATTAATAAATGAACTGCTCCTAACCCACTAGCAGCTTCTGCTTCACCAGCCTTATCTCCAAGGCCTCTGGCAAGAGCAAGTTGATGCGATAAACAACTAACAGCTTGTTCATGATTACCTAATGCAGCATGCACTCTGCCTATAACATTAATGTTAGCCAATTCGTAGGGTGCGGAGAAGAATTAAAGTATTTAAAAATATTATACCAATGTATACCTAAATCTCCGTAAGCAGCACCTCTTGATTCTGGACTGTCAACTTCATGAGCAGCTACCAATCTCTTCTCGAAGCAAACCAATGCTTCTTGCAAATTTCCAGTCGCTTCTCGAGCTCTACCTAACCCTCGATATGCCCTTTCCTGTTCTCTTATACTTTTCAATTTCGTAGCAGCTGCCAATTGTTGTTCATGACACTTAATAGCTTCCTCTGGATCTCCTAATGCTTCATAACAGTCACCCAGATTACCAAGAGCCCTCGCTTTGTCCAACAGAGCTGTACCCGTGGTCAAAGGTTCTAAAGTTGCCAGTTGCTGTTCAAAGTATCCAATTGCGTCTTCGTAATGTGCCATGTTAAGTCTAGCAATCCCTAAGTTTCCTGTTCAACAAGAAAACAGAAATAATAAAACTCACATCTGTAAATTGAAATTTATATAGAGAAACTCTATATAAGTAAGTTTCACCTAATGCTTGAGCTTCGACTCCTGAATCAGCCAACTCTTTTGCTCTTTCAAGTTGCTCCTGATAACACTTAACTGCATGAGTATATTGACCCAATGCCATATGTACCGCACCTAAGTTTCCATGAGCTCTACACTCGCCACGCAAATCCCCGGCTTCTTGTCTTAAAGTTAATTCTTGAGTATGAAATCCTAGAGCCTTATCAAGATTTTTTATCGTCCGATGAGCTATACCTAATGCTCCATAGGCAGCAGCTTCTAGACTCCGATCGCCTGCCTGACGCGCTAAATTCAACTGTCGTTGGTGCATTTTTATCGCCTCCTCAGCTTCACCAAGACGCAAGAGGCAGTCACCGATATTCCCCAATGCTCGAAATTTTCCAGCTAAATGCTTAGTCATATGTGCAATAGCTATACGCAGAAAAATAATATGTACCCCGGGATTTTTGTTACTGCAGTTATAAATTACGGTTTAATTTCTTACCTAAATAATATTTTTGGCATTCCAGTGCAGTATCTAAATTTTCAAGAGCTAAATGCGCTAATCCTAAATTACAGTAAGCTCTTCCCATTCCCGATTTATCCTGTAAATCCTTAGCTAATGCCAAGTCTTGATCATAATATCTAACAGCTTCACGATGGTTACCTAAACAGTAATGAGCGTAGCCCAAGAAGTGGCACGCTTTTGCTTCTCCTTCGACATCGTGCAGCTCTTGTGATAGCATAAGGTAATTTTCGTAATATGGAACTGCTTCTTCGAATCTGCCACGAGATGACAAACAGTTGGCAAGATTAAGTAAAGCACACGCTTCACCTGCTGTATCCTTTAACTCTCGAGCTATAGCTAAATGTGCCCTATAATGCCTTAAGGCTGCTTCGTGACCCTGTACTGCTTGATACGCAACTGCTAAATTCCCATGTGTACTGGCTTCTGAACTACGATCATTTACCTGTATGGAAATATAAAATATTTTTTTTATTTAGTAGAAGTATGTGAACATTATTTCTTATTAAATACCTTATACAATTTACCTCTTTACTTATCGTTAATTCCTGTTTATGATATTTAATAGCCTGTTCGTAATATCCTAACGCATTATAAGCATTTCCGATGTTTCCATATGCTCTCCCCATGCCAGCTTTATCTCCTAACAATCTAGCAATACCTAAATGAGCTTGATGCAACTTAAGTGCAGCCTCATGTTCACCGAGTAACTGATAAACTATTCCTAAATTACTGCATGCTCGTCCTTCAGCTACTTTGTCTTTTGTAGCTAATGCAACGTCAAGTTGTCTCTGGTGCCACAGCTTGGCTTGTGCGAGATCGCCTAAATAAGGATATATTTGAAAGAAATTTTACAATAAGATTCATTTCTTCGTCGGTTTCCTCATTAGTTTTCGTTCCGAATAAGTTTTTCACCTGCACATCTTGCAGCATGACCCAATCCAGCATATGCTCTCATTTCTATCGCTCTATCGCCAAGATCTTGAGCTATTCTTAGAACATTCTCGTGATAAGCCATTGCTTGACCAAAATTTCGTCTATAGTGGTGAGATGATCCCAAGTTACTAAATGCTCTTGCTTCCTCTACACGATCTCCTAAACGTCTTGCTATTCTCAAATGCTGGGTATGACAGTCAACAGCACTTTCGAATTCTCCCATTGCTAAATAAACTGCTCCCACGTTACCTATTTCTCGTGCTTCCTGAAGTCGATCTCCCATTTGTTTCACTAACTGTACGCATTGCTTATGGGAAGCAAGTGCATTTGGTAAATCGCCGATAGCTGTATAAACGTGACCCAGGCTCGTCAAAGCAGAAGCTGCAGCCTGAGTGTCTTTGCATTTCATAGCTAAAACCAATTGATACCTGTGTGCTGTTAAAGCTTCCTTAAAGCTGCCTTTGCTAAAATATGCAGAGCCCAAATTTCCATGAGCCCGACATTCACCCTGTGTATCGCCTAGTGATCGTGCTACACCTAAAAACATTTTTATTCATAATTTAAGGAAATACTCGACAGATACACATATATTACTTTATTAATTTCTAAAGTATTACTTGCCTAAGTCTTGTTGCATGTAATTAATTGCTTTGTCCAAAGAATTCAACGCCCAATATGCACTGGATAGAGCAGAAAATACAGAACCCCGTAATTTTAAACTACAAGAGCCAATAGTCAGCGCAGCTTCCAATACACCAGCTGCAGCCTTGTACTGTCCAGCCCCGAGAAGTTCTTGACCAACAACAGAGATAACAACAAAAGGAGATTCATCGAGTTTCATTGCACGTAACTGCTGAAATGTTGGTTCTAATGTTGCGCGTAATGGTGATTTTAAAGATGCTTCTACCAGACCAGATAATAATTGACAATTGGAAGGATCATGTGCCAAACCAGTACTGAAGGCCACAAGGGCCTCCCCATGCCTTCCTAAACATTGTAGTGCTACTCCTTGACGATAATATGCCTACACGGAAAAGAAGTTTCATTAATTATATATGACAGACAAAATATAAATAATTTCTTTACCTTTGGCCACTGAGAACTAAGTTCGGTTGCTCTAACTGCATCTTGGAGAGCAAGTGCAAATAAACCCATTTTGAGCCTAGCAGCTGATCTGTTTGAATACAGTACATGGCTGAGTGGATCCAAGACAAGGGCTTCTGTATACAAGCTTGCAGCAAGTGCATAATCACCATTTTGACAAGCTGCATTGCTACGGCGTACTGTCTCTAAAAATAGAGATCTTGATCCAGCAGCCAAAGCTGACGTACCTTCGGGCTCCACCTTAAGTATTCACAATAAATTAATACTTTAGACTATTATTTATACTTAAGAGATGTTTAATAATGTTATTTAATATGAAACAGTTACAGTAAATGATACATGTTAAATTAAAATTTGATTAATTAAACAATATCACCAAAAATGTTTGAAAACGCATACATTTACTGTTTATCCATTTTATAATTTTCAATATTAAAGTATAAATTATTATTCATTGTTATCATAAATGTATAGTAATATATATTATGATAATATAAAACATGATTGCAAGAAGACATTTTCGATAAAACTTTTATAATACATAAAAAAAAATAATAAGTATAAGAACTTATAAAACTTTTCCACTTGTAAGACATAATAATATTAGTACTTATCGAGACATATACCGTAAAGGTTCGTAATATTACCTCAGAGATATCCCTATGAGACATTGCTTAAGACGAGCAGGTAGCATCCTCCTGCATGAGCATTATCTGCGGCGAGGGAGCTCCATTAGATAAGGCCACGCATTTTAGAGTATAAGGTCTTTCTAGGACTTCCCACATCACCTTCCTTTTTCTCACTCACATTTATTCTTCGTGAAGTACTACTTTCAAATTTTAACGTTATTCACCGAATAGACGTTGACATTAATTACTTCGTCCTAGTAATCAGAGTATTTGCTAGGATGAGTGAATTGGTTCGATTAATAAAAAGGGAGGGAGGAAGGCGTCTTAGGGGGGCACCCACTGCATTCCTCAGGCACAGCCATCTTGGAATGTGACCCCGGGTTCCCCCTTAGGCCCAGAGTGGGGCCGGCACTGCTATGTCTCTACCCTTCGCATATTGGGCCTCACACGCATCATGCACATATACTGACATATATTTTACACGTGTATCTCTCTCCCATGAACCATGCATAAAAATGGGGAACTGGCGCGTATAAAACAAACGTACAGAAATTTAGACCTTACACACTTTTTCTTACAAGGTGATAGTTTACAATCAGGATTAGAATCTAGGCCTCCTGGACGGCTGTCCAGGACCCAGGACCACTTCGGCTATTGAGAAAGTTGAAAATACCTCCTCTTTCTAGTGGAGGTAAGCGCGGTTGTCGTAACATGTTTAGTCATTTTTTATAACATTGGATAAGTGTTAGCAGCTAGCAATTTGGACTTAGTTTATGTGTATCATACTTTACAAATTGCATTTAATCCTGATTGTAGACTTCCTTTCTTAGTATTTTATACATTATCATTCTATATAAATATGTATGATGTATATTATAGGAAATAGTATTACATTATTAACCATCTTGTATTATACGATATAATACATTAGTTCACAGAATGAAAACTAATAAACATTTGTAAACGTTAAAAATATTTTATTGTACATTACGTCACAATTATTTACATTTGAATATGATAACAAAGTCATTTATTTTATTCACAGATATATACAAAAATGTAAATAGCTTCTTGTGTACAGAATTACAATTATAATATTGTAGATTTGTGGAATGTCTAAGATACACAACTGCCAGTACAAAATGCTTACAAATTTTACTGTGGAATGTATCTCTATAATGAACACGCAATAAAATAAACTTTCTGTGTATGTTATAAGATTCTCTATTTTGAAGCAACTTCTATAAATCTGTCTATTTTAATGACACAGCCACTACAGTAACATTTTGACACTAATTTTGTGATAAATTATGGTATCTGAATATACTGTATAATGCTTACAGTGGTACATAATCTCTTTTTCTCTATGTATAAATAATGTATAAATCACATTATGTTATTTACATATTTAATTATTTATAACTCTTTAATAGCTGATAGTTACTAACTTTGTATATTATTTTCAGTACCTACTGTACTTTTACTTCAATTCTGTTATTGTCTACATAATAATCACTGAAAGAAATTCATAAAAAATCAATCTACATAACTTATGTATACCATTTACAAATCGTTATCAAAATATAAACACTCATTCGATCATTTGAATGTGTAGGAATGTTAAATATTCAATAATAAATCATTTTGAAGAACTGATACATCAGAACTAAAAATTTTCTAAATAACATTTAAATGGCCGTGAATTTAATTCACATTAAAATGTTCTCTTCCACATAAATTATATATTCAATAAACATTTTTGTTAGAAAAAATATACATTACATAACGGAATCTTTAGATAATGCAACTACTGTAGCTTTCCATATTATAATTAACCAATGCCAAAACGAAAATGTTTGGTACAATCTTATGGTTTCTTCTCATTTTCATCAATTTAAAGTATCCAATATAAAATATTTATGTATCACATTCGAAGTAAAAATACTTTTGGAATGTACTGCTACAAATGTACTGTACAAATATAAAATGTATATATGTATGAAAGCTACATATGGACTCATGTTCTTAAATACATAAGTCTTAATTTGTAATGAACAATCTTCATGTCCAAACTCGATTGAAAAAGTCCATAAAGGACTTATATATCACAAATGTGAGGGCAACGTCTAAACATACTCTACTTAATCTTGGCACAGTTCCTTTATAAAAGGCAGTTGGACCTTCATTTTTCCATATTTGAATCATACAGTCTACACTATTTTTATATTTCGATGCCTCTAAGCCCTAAAAATGATTCACATTTAATAATTTCATCTTATAAAACAAAAGTTATTATTTTGTAACTGCTTTAAAGTTGAAATCCATACCTGCATTCTAGTCTTAACAACATCAATGGGAGTATTTCCAAAAACTGATAATGCACCAGCACATGCACCAAATATCCCAACAATTACTTTGGGTACATCTACATTTTTGTCTCCACCCCTATACCAGTCATTTAAAGTTTCCATAGTACAAAACCTAATTGCTTGATTTGATCCTTGTTTTAAAATTGTAGGTGTTAATCCTTGGTATACACCTCTGAATCCTAAAGAACAGTGATTACATGTAATACTTACATCATATTTTTAAACTATATGAAAATATTATTTTTAAAATTATAATTTAGAATTTTATTACTTGTGCACACATTTTATATAATTTTACATGTATTATATAGTGTAATTCTGCAGAAAATACACAAGACATTATGGAATTTAACAAGGCTAGTATACTCCTTTTGCTATCTTGTTACAAGGCTAATTTACTCCTGTTATTATCTTATTACACAAGTAAACTGGGCATACTGTGCCATATAACTTGACCCCTTTATAGTCATGATTAGCTAGATTATACATGCAATTTTCAAGACCTCTTTATTACACTTTTACTCAAATTGAAACGAAATAACTAGATTTTTAGTTTTTCTTTTTGCATTTTATTTACAATTTAATGTTGCAACAAGTTGACTTTAATTAATTTGAAATATTATTATGTTATTACTTACCATATTCTTTAATAATCATTCTTACTCCATGTAAGAATCCTTTGTACCTTGGATTAGCAGATCTTTGGTCATTAATAAATTTTACTTTGATTGTTTCCATAGGAGTAACTGCAAAAATAGCTTCAGATGCACCAGCACATAATCCTGCTAAGAAGCTGGCTTGAGTAGTAAGTTTGCCATTTTCATCTACTAATAATTCTTTCATTGTTTCAAAAGAACCAAAACGTACTGCTGATTTAGGTATTGAGCCATAAACTAAAATAGATAAGCCCCTGTAGAGACCCAAAGTTCCATGATTTTTTACAGTTTTTGTCACACAATCCCATATTCCTGAATACTGTTTGCCTGCTCCACTTTTTCCATCAAGTTGCAATTGTGTCTTTACATATTCCGTTGGATATGTAATACATATTTCTATGCCACCGGTGATACCACCTAAAATATAAATCCATAGACATGTAATAATCCAATTCGTAAGTAATCTATTCTGTTCATATTAAAAATTTGTTATCCGGTAAATTATATATTTAAACAAACCTGTGTAAAACTATGGAAACTATTGGAAACATCGACACGTGAGATATAAAATTCAGAATAAGGTTACTATGTATTTTCAAGGTTAAACATTTCACAACCTTTGAAACTATCACGCGTTGAATGCGCTGATTCAAAGTTCATCTATCTTTTTCTCTCCGCTAACGTTACTCATTCATGTGTCCCTCTCACTACCAGTAAATGTGTTTATACACTATCGTTATTTTTCGATAAATGGTTAAAACGCAGCGAGCACGCGTTATAAAGGGCTTCAGTAATTTTGCTAATTATTATAAAAAAAATAATAACAAGAAACATACCAGCTATAATTCCTTTCAAACTACTACTACCGGCAACCGCCGCAAGTCCAGAATCTGCAAGCCAGGGTCTACGGAGAAAAGGATTACGGAATGTTGAAATTGTGCCCGATTCTTGTGATGATTTGTACATCAGCCAACTGGAATCCATTTTCCAGATTTTCGTCTATTCGCCTATAGCTTTACTCCGTTAGACGTCGAACCTGAACTGGAGTCGATTAATATACGTCTGTTTCGAGTTTCGATGCGCGTACCAATGTTCCCCTTCCTCAAATAACTTCTTTTACTCGCGCTATGTTCGACGAATATCGTATATTAGGCTTCATATTAAGGAAGTAAAGGTAATCGAAGGGCCGATAATGGGCGGAGTAAACGAAACACGTTATGTTTTTACTATAAATGTTTTTATGTAAATATATAGAACTTCCATTTTCGTAGGAAAAATAGCAACGTCATATGTACCTAATTATAAAATCATTGCTTTTACATTACCCGTTCCTTTTTTAATAAATTCTTAACAAGCCGTTGTCCTTGTGATTCGGCTATGAACTTTTTATTAAATTGAATTTCCTTGTATAAATTAATAGTTTGTCTAATATACGAATTTGAAGACTAAAATATGTATTTTTGGTAGTACTTTATGCGTAAAAATAAACCAGGTTCAGTAATTGGGAAAAAGTAAAATACATGAAAAATGAAGGATTATTTTATTATAATTTATATCAATTTTTTAAATTTTGATTAGATCATTTGAACATTCTTGAATCGGTAGAATATATCAAAGCTCTTATCATCGTTCTGATTATTTCTTTGTATTATCATAGTGTGACTTACATCTCATAAGCAGTTGAAGTATGGTATACTATCAGGAACGTTTTTATTTCTTACGTTATGTAACAGGTATAATGAATACAACTGTATAAGTAAAAATATGAGAATAGAAATTGATCATATGAAGATATGAAAAATTGTTTAATAGAAGATCATAAAGAAAATCTCGTGTTAGTCTGTTGTTATTCCGGTAAATATCTAAATATTTATTAGAATGCGGTTTATTTTGTGTCTAAATCTTAACATAAAAATTATATTATTATATGTATGATTTAAAAAAGTCTAAAACCAGATAAAGAGAATGAAAATCCTGAGTGAAATTACTCAGTAAAGTATGGCTTGCCATATTCTGTTATAAATCATTACGTTGTAATTTACACACATTACCACCCAGGTGTAGTATTTGCTAAACGTCTCATACGTCTGAAATAAAAAAAAATATTGTAAATAAATGTTAATGTTTTACACACAAATACACGGTATAACAATATTTACCTTGTATTTCGATCTTGGTCACGTATTTTCTTTTCCATTTCTGCATCTGTTAATGTCTCTAAGAATGGTGCCCATTGATCAGCTTCTGAAGGTGGCCTGAAAGGTACTTCCACTGTAGGTAATGGAGCTTCGGAGAATGCATATGTTCTTTGGTGCCATGACAACTGTCCACGAACACTAAGAAAAAGATTTAGTCATATTAAACTAACATAGCTATAACTTACATATACTAAAATATGTAAATATATATGAGTCATTGAAAACATTTTTTTTTTATTTTTAAATAGTTCCCCGGTATAAAAACAAGGCATTTATTTAAAACAATTTCAAATTGACGGTTCAAAAATATTTTTTTTTAACTGACATAATTTTTATTTGGTACTCTTTATGTGTCCACTGTTAGTACCCGCAAAGCTCATTTCGATCAGTTTGTTAGTTCAATAGTTATAATTTATTGAAAAAAGGTTCACCCTAAATTTCAAACAGCTGTGAAATTAACAATTTTTTAAATTTTCAAAAATCCTTCGAGATACGTTTATATATCGCTAAAGACTACAACATATCCAAATTTGAACAAAATCCGACATGGTGCTCAAAAATGTGTCCGATTTCGCGTGGAATAAACCATATATAAACACTGACCTATATGCAATTGCAGTAACAAATTCTCCACCAAGACCCAATTCTGCACAAAGTTTCATTGCAAATTTTTCAGGATTGTTTTCTTTTTCAGACATGTCCCATTCGACTTGGTCTACTAATGACGTATTGCCCACATGTATGTTTAACTTAATTATAACTCGTTGATCACACTGGTCTTCAAGAATTGTTTCCTGAGGAAAAGCTTCTATTTGTTGTCTTATAGCTTGTGCAATAGCTGGCACAAAGGTGAGAGGATTTAAATCTAAATCATCACACAATACTTCTGCAAATTGTTCTGGTGTTATGAGACTCTCTAGAAAAGAATTGGTTTTTAGTATGCATATTCTATTGTTAATCAAGTCACATGGTTAAACATACCATTTTTATTCCATGTAAAAGTATCTCTTAACTTTTGACCTTCAATTTCCATATCTAAACGAATTGGTACTAGCATTTCTTGTTGTGCTGCATTTTCCAAGTTTGCTGATGGGTCTGTATCATCAAAACTAGAAAAATATTTTACATTTATACATACAATAGTACATAGCATATGTATAAAACTTCAAAAATATATTATTAATTATATTTATTAAGAGTACTAATTATAAAATATGCAAGATTAGAACATTTACCATAAAGGAAAAGTTCTAACTTTCTTATTGTGTACTCTATTACGATTAATTGGTGTAGCTTGAGGCACAGCATCTAGGTGTGAGCTATTTGGTAAACTAGGCACCCATGGCATTGATTTCTTTGATTTTCCTTCTCTAGGAGCTGGAGGTTCTGTTGAATGTACTGACACAGCTTTGTATTTATCATCATTGCCTTCAATAATATCTTCAACTTCACTAGCTCTTAGGAGGGATACACTCGATGCAAGCACATGTTGACTTAATCCAAGTTCCACTAGCTTTTTACGTTCATCATTTGTAATGGATCTCCTGAACATTCCAGGATAACGTTTATATAATGATCCACGAAATAGGCGCAAATAATTGCCCACTTCAGATCCAATGCAATAATATTCTCCATTTTCTTCCACTTGAAAACTTATAGGTTTGTCACCATATGTACGCAAAGCCATGTTTATGTTTCCTATAAAAACATACAATACGTATTATGAATATATGAAAAACAGGATGTAAAACCAAATCCACATACACTAATACACAAACAAAAAATATCGCAATAAAAGAAAAAGACAAAAATAGTGTTTAAGTAATTGTAGTCTCTAAATAGTTCTGAGTCAACAAGTTCATAACCAAACATTACATTATTCGTAAGTAGTATTGTTTATCACAAATATTATTGTTTACATATTTGTTTACCTACCTGTTTTGCCGGTCAGTTATCAGTATTCATCTGTCACACATTTATTAATATTAGCATGGACACAACATAAAGCATTTTATGGTTCAATGCATACACTATGTTTTCGTTCCATTGAACAGTATTTTATCAATATTCGTACTGAATACTTATATGGAAGAAGTTTAGGTACCTACGAGACAAAAAGACCAATTGTCTAAATATTTTTGTTACTTATTGCTTAAATAGGTGGTGTTCGTTAAATATATGACAATACAGATCCTAAAGCTACGTTTTGAAGATACATGCAGATACATGGGATACATTGGGATACATGTAACTACACTACCTAGCGTCCAAATACTTGTATTGGCAACAGTATGTTTGATCTGTTTTCAACGCTAGTCCCATTTTGTTAATCTAAGGACATACATAATTTGTACGTATAGGTTTTTACAAGCTATGTAAATGAATACATATAAATCTCATACATTGCATCATTGACATTTTAATGTATAAAAATGTTTACATTTGATTGTTTCTATGAACATCCCTAGAAAAATCTTACGCGCTCGTTCTTCCCCAACAATTATTCCGGAATGTGGTAACAAGACAGAGGGGGTGGGAATAATAAACGTTAGGCGTGTCGGCGTCTGTTTTTTTTAATATATTAATAGAAAATTCTACCGATTAAGCAATTTCACCACGATATTTATCTCTGAATGGTACGAATTCGATTTTGTGGAAAACTACTTTAGTATCTTAAAATGTCGGCGGTGCAAAAAATTGTATGTACAGAGAATGTCCTTAACATTCTCGATCCATAGCGTATAATTTTATGATCGAATAAAGTTCCGATTCTGCGATCGTGATATAGTGGTACGTATATGTGGCCGGGGTTCGGATACGAGTGGAAGAGGGTATGTTCTTATGGGGTAGCTCGAGGGCGGTAACCTTTGCCGGGGAATGGAGACTGAGAGCGTAAAATCGGGGGCTAGCGAGCATAGCCATAGCCATCATAGCAGGACTTCTCAAAAACATCATCGAACTCATAGTTCCAAGTCTCATCATAGGCAACACTCACATAGAAGTACCAGGTACTCAAATATATACACCAAATGTTGTTTGTGTAGTAAGGATAATGCTTAAGTTTAATTCTTTTTCCTTCATATATATATTTTTTTAAAGGACCAGTCGCAGTCAAAGAAAAGAGAGACATAATTTAGATACCAGCGAAATGGCTCCTTTCCAAACAACTGTTAACGTAAGAGGTGACAGTGTGGATAATTTGGGTCAAGAAGTGATCGAAGTACAGATATTACCCCAAGATGAGAATTGGGGTGAAAATACAACAGCTGTTACTGGAAATACCTCTGATAGATCAGAATCAACTGAAGATGTGAGCCATTGGCCAAATGAAAGTGACGGATCGTTTAGTTCCTGTAATCGATTTGTGGGTCCTGTTATAGCAATGATAATTGGATTAAGCGCCTTTCTTAGCCCCATAGCTATGGTTATAATGCCTAAATTAGGATTTTTTCCCAACTGTACAACTGTATTAACAATGCAACAAAAACTACAATTGCGATCATGTAATGCAGAGTGTAAAGGCCAATTATTAGGCTTAGCCTTTAAGTTGGTGCTACTAGGTATTGGGAGTTGGGCAGTATTTTTACGCTCACGAAATGCTACTATGCCTCGTATATTCTTATTCAGAACTGGAGTACTACTTTTAACCACCTTGTGTATTTCTACTTATTGGTTATTTTATGTTGTTCAGGTATTTAATTTTATCGAATACTCTAAAATTTGATTTTTAATTATAGCATTTATATATTGTAATCATAAATTTTAGGTCACAGAGAGTGCTAAGACTGCTGCTAATGGTGAGATAACAGAGTACAAAAATTTAGTAAATTATGCTGGTACTCTTACAGATACTCTACTGTTCATACACTATATTGCTATATTACTCATTGAAATCCGGCATCAGCAACCTATGTTTTACCTTAAAGTATGTGAAATTATTTTTTAATTTCCTAATTGTCATTTACTTTTATTTCTTGAATACATTGTACCGATTTGTTAATATTCAAGGTTGTAAGATCACCAGATGGCGAATCGCGATCTTTTGCAATTGGACAATTGTCGATACAACGAGCAGCGGTGTGGGTGTTGGAAAGGTACTATACAGAATTTCCTATCTATAACCCATACTTGGAACGACTGCCTGTATCTAAGTCTGGTAGGAAACAATCTAGCTTCAAATTTTATGAAGTTGATGGTGGAGTAACCAGCGGTGTTCAATCACGGGGAGGTAGTGGTGACAGAGCAGTCATGCCTACTCAGACACGACGTAGAGACTCTAGCCATAATGAACGTTTTTATGAAGAACACGATTATGAACGCAGAGTTAGAAAACGCAGAGCAAGATTAATCACTGCCGCTGAAGAAGCATTCGCGCATATTAAGCGTTTACATTCAGAGGTAGACTCAGCTCCTAATCCAGGTCCCATGGATCCTATGGAAGCTGCACAAGCAGTATTTCCATCTATGGCCAGAGCCTTGCAAAAGTATTTGAGAGTAACACGGCAACAACCGCGTCACTCTGTAGAATCTATTTTAAGTCGACTTGCACGGTGTTTAGCTCAAGACGCAGCGCCGCGTGCATTTCTAGAACCTTTTTTTGTAACAAGTCCTGTACTTTCGAATGAAAAGGAGAGACAAAAACGCTCACACAACTGGGCCTTAGTCTGCGAGGGAGAGTTACCTTCGCGACCTCTTGCTAACGGTTGCGAATTTCAATTAAGACAAGGTGAGGTAGCTCTTTTATGTACAGCATATCACTTACCTCACTTTCATCTTACAGAACAGCTTGCGCATCCGAAATCCAATAAATTCCTACTGAGATTAAATTCTGAAACGTCGGTCTAGTATCGCTTTAAAATTAATAGAGTTATCGAGATAATTTGCCGATCGAATTTTTGTATTTCTAATGAATACAAAATTCATTAAAAACGAGTAGTTTTTTATTGTACATACAATTGAGAAAATATCACAATAATAAATTTGTAAGTATTGTGAATTGAATATTATTAAAGCAAGTAAATGAATTACAGAAGCATATACTATTGTTATATACATACATATAACAATGATAAAGTTTTTCTTAGAGTATATTTTCAGATGAACAGAAATTTTGAAAGCACAAGATAGTTTTTTATGATGCTATCATGAAAATTATTCATATTAACGAAATTATTTATACGTCTCCCTTGCTACAAGCAGTTGAAGGATAAATCGACAATATAGTTCTTGCATTTACAGCTTATGATGAATTACCGAATTCTTTTCGTACTATAAACGCACACAATTATTTATTTAATTGTTTTGCATGTTACTATTCATAAAATCAAAATAAGTCTATTAATTTTTTTAGCAGTATTGTCAGAAAAATATCAAAGTTTCATTAAGTTCTTTTTCGCAGATAAATGTATAGTTTAACTAAATTTTATCAATCTAAAATTTTTTGTAAAATAATTTTATTCCAGTTGAAATATATGTAACTACCAATGCTTTGTTCATTGTGAAGCAATAGTGTTCCAAAAGTGCATTAAAACTATTTATATCAACAATAGTTATCATACATTTATTATATATAGACTTTCATCTCATGAAATAGTTTTGTATTTATTCTGAATAGAGAAATAATTACATTCCTGCAATGTATTTATACAATGTTCTGTTCGTGCACATAATGATGCATCTACATGTATGTAAGAACACACATCTGTATTTTTTAATACAGTTCAATGATACAATTTCTTCCATGACGTCAACCTTATTAAGTTTTTTTAATATCTTACATTGATATTTTGTAATTACTTTTTTTATAAATTATACATTTGGTTATTTTTAGATTATTTGTAATATCTCGTAACTTTACAATTGTTATGTAAGTATTCCAAATACTTAAATAATGCCCATTAATTTTAAAACACATGAGCAGCTTGCAGTTGTGATAAAAGATCTAATAAGATTCTAACAAAGCTACTTAAATTAACAATCTTTATAAAATACACTTAGTGTTATAGACTATGATTACTTACAGAATAATGTTTCAAACAGTATCTAAAGTAACTGAAAATTTTGAGTTTTTCTGTTAGAATAAGCACCGGTGGTAGCTTTGTTTGAACTTCTATTAAATTTACTTTTTTTCAGTTTTATACACTCATACCTTAACTACTGCTTGGTGTGATTATGTATAAATTTGCTCATATCCATTGTTGGATACTGTACCACAGTCAATGTACCTCTTTTAAGTATTTAAATGTTTTGTATTATTTATATGTCATTTGATACATTCAAAAACATGAATTGTACTAGTTTTACTCAATATAATTCCTGATATTATATAATTTTAAAGTAAGTCTTCTGTATTGCATTGTTATTTTACATGTCACTTTATAAGGCTGATAGTATCTTATTGTATTTCTGACTGGGCTTACTGTTATAGATATATGTACAGTGGATAATACGAATAACCATTTACATTTATGTTGAAGTATGTATATATGACATATTCATCATTGAATACACAATGAGGCGAACAGTATAACAGTAGAACTTGTTATGTGAAACAATTACAATATTGTAGTATTCTTTTTTATTTCTGTATACCTGTTTAAACTTTCAATTCGGATGAGGAAAAGTAAAGTGCAAATTGATCCATGTCTAAGAAGTACTTAACATATCACAGTATAGTAATAAAAAGTATATATTACTTGCCTCTGCTTATAACTTATATTATTTAAGACTGTAGTAAATTAAGAATACTTAAATTAGAGGGTGTAAGAACTTTTTTAAAATAATTTTACATTCTTGCAATGTTATTGTTGTGAGTAGCGTTACAAACTTTTTTTATTTTATTTATGTATGAGCGTGGTGAATGTATTAATTGGAAAACTAAATATACATTTAATGTATACACATTTTCTGATATTATTCTTCTAAATAGATACATTGTACTATGTTTCTTGAATTCTTTGCACAATATATGTGAACATCTTAATTTTATAAGTTACTACTATATTCAGAGAAGAATAGTGCGCACAAAATAAAATTCCAATAGCATAAGGAGAAAACTGAAAAATGACAAAATAAAACTGTTACATCAAATTTTATTTGTAAATCTCGTTCTACGACAAATATTCGAATGTAAGGTGTGTGTTTATAATAATACAAGATATGCGAAAATGATCAATTGAACTCTTTATTTCCTTACTGTTTTGTAACATGTGCTTCACAGGCCTAATACAATATTTTATATTTTAAGCAAAACATAAAGCATACCTATTATTATCAAAATTTATTTTAAAATGAGGCAAATGAAAAATTTGATCATAATGATCATTTAAAACAGATGACCGTTCACACATGACTTTAATATTTATTGAACATCGAATATTAAACCTAATATTATAAATATTAACGAATCCAAACAATTGCATATGTCGTATTAAGCGTTTCTTTAAATCTCATGTTTCATAAAACTTGTCCAATAAAACATGTAACGTTAATTATTGATAATATATAAATATGATTTGTATTAATTGTTTTATTTATTTCTTGGTTTTTGGACGCCACATATTGTATGCTGTCAGGTGATAAAATGGCATTTAATATAAATAGAACACAAATGTGCTTTTTTAATTCCACTCTTTTCAACTCTACATTTATCTTACTAAAAAATTTGTATGTAGCCCTCCACTGAAAAAGTTGGGTACCCCTACTTGCCCTTACTCCGTATAAATCGATCTAAGCAGGAACGTCACGCATGAGGTTGGTTAATCTTGGTTGATCTTGGTTAATCTCACGCTGTCTCACGCATGTAGAAGAAAGTAACGTAAAACCCCTAATATGGCCAGCGACAAAAAATCTGGAAAATCTTCCAAAGGTGCGAAATCCAATGCAGAAATATTATCTGAATTTCAAGTACTTCGAAATGAGCAACGAATAATGGCTAATAAATTATCAGAAATGGAGATGGAATTAAATGAACACAAGTATGAACTTTTTAACCTATACTAACCACTTATATTTCCTAAACACTCGTTTTTTAGCATTACAAACAATTTTTGAGTAATATTTAAAAATTAAAATATAACAGAATTCTTATAGAGCAGCGACAGTATAAATTATGTGATTTTTCTGTAAAGAAAACATTATATTATTACTCGTAAATTTGTTTCTTGGATTGTAAATGTGACTTTTACATAAAGAAATGAAATACGAACGTTTTAGGATTGTAATTGACACATTGAAGAATGTAGATCCAAAAAGAAAGTGCTATAGAATGACAGGAGGTGTACTATGCGAACTCACTGTAGAAGATGTGATGCCTGCATTAGTGACAAACAAAGAACAGGTAAATTTTTTTGATATTTTATATTGTAAATTAAATTTGTTTAACAATTATATCATTGTACAATGTATAGAATATGCATCTTGTGATTTGCAGCTGATCAAAGTTATAGATGCCATGAATGATCAATTAACAAAGAAAGGAGTTGAAATAAACGAATTTAAAGAGAAGCATAATATTAGAATTAGGGGACAGGATGTACAACAGGAGGGTGAAGATCCTAAAGAAACAAAAAGAAGCGCGGTTGTTGTTAATTCATTGTTAAGCAACTATGCATAAAATCAGTTTCTTGTTTCTAATGCATTTCACATTTATATTTAAATCACTTTTCAGCACTTATTTATTAAGTCCTCTGAGCAATCATTGTATTTGATATTTACAAATATTCAATTTTTTTTAATGATTGTATATTTCGTGTAAAAAGTTGCTTACCAATCTTTCCTTATAGACAATATTATAAAAAATTGAGTAATCATTTCAGTCTTTTGGCATCATTACTTTTTATAACTTCATTTATTATTATAAATTGTGAGATAAACATGTGTACACTTGTGATTCATGAATAGTTTTACTAAAAATTTCAAATTTAATTCATAGTAAATATGTCATTAATAGTTTAATATTTAAAGAAAGCAAGATTTTGCATTTCCAAAAAAGTTTAGCTTGAGATATGGGATAGGAAAGACGTGAACTATAAAATCTTCTTTTTACAAGAAAGATATAAAAGGCAGATATAGATCTCCAAATTTCCGACAGATATTTAAAAACTTGATAAAAATGTAATTAAAAGTTTGTATTAATAAGAGATTGTTTACATATAAGCTTGATAAAAACGGAAATGTTCCATTTTTTTATTAATTTCATTCTTTCAATAAAAAGAGTTACATATGTACTTTAATTCTTCATTATAATGTTTTTTAATGTTATTTCATTAATCGCTAGCTAATATTTCTTTTGCATTAAAATATCTTTTAACTTCGTTTTTTCGCATTTGAAAATATTTGGACATTTCTTACGTCACTATCCTCCTTATTTAAAAAAAAATATTGTATACATTTCATTAAAATTATTTCCTAATAAAAATTGAATGATGAAAGTAAGTACATGTACAGAGTTAGTTTATTTTTCTGAAATGAGTATTATTATACAATTTCTAAAAATATGGTATATGAAAATATGGAAATATATATTGTTTCTGTAATTATAATTACAATTATCTATTTAATATATATATGATAACTACGTTTAACTTTGCTTTAAATTAATTTCAGTCGCGAAGAGCAAAGTATACTAATAATGGTATGTATAAATACTTGAATTTCGATTTTTTCATAAATTATTTATGAATTATTACAATAGTTTACAAATACTTTGTAATCAATCCAAAAGCTATTATTAATAATAATTACTTTATGATTCTCCATATTAGGTTGCAGTAAGCGAATAAGCACTTACTGCAGTACAGTCTATAAATATGAAGGCACCCTTTTATACATTCTACAGATATTAATGTTCACGATTCCATCTCCATACAGTGGCATCGTCACAAACACATAATAAAACTGAGCCATCTCTACTTAAACTTGTTTGACGAATAGGTGCAGTGCATCTAGGATGCTGAAGTGAATAACAACGTGCTTGTCCAGGTTCATCAACTTCTAAATCCCATACATATGTTCTGCCAACTTGATTTCCTAAAGCTATTGTGCGTTGCCAGAAATCCATTGAAAATCGTATGAACCATATATCACATTCTTTGAATTCAAATCGATGTAGAACAGTGGCACTTGTTTCTCCGTTACGTAGTTGAGAATCTTCGAGACGTCCTGGTTTCCAGCACACAATACAGTTTTCGCAAGATTTACTTAAAATGAAGTCACCGTACCATTTGACGCAATCAACATAATTACGATGTACATCACGCGTAGTGAAGTCTGGAAAATGTTGAAGTATAGAATCAAAAGGTCTTCCATTACGACTAGGATTACAGTAATAAGATTGTTTTATTGCTTCTTGCATATCCGGCTTATCTAGTGACCATAATTTCAAAGCATGATCCATGCCACATGAAATGATACGTTCACCTTTCATATCAAAATCTGCGCTTAAAACTTCATCTCTGTGACCTTCAACACCACCAAAAATCGCTATACACACATCAGTTTTTATATTCCATAGCCTAAGAGCATGATCCTTTGACGCTGAGAGTAATATATTTGGATCTTTAGGATGAACTTTTAATTCATTTATTGCATGACCATGCCCAATGTAGTGTTTAATGCATGTCATAGTTACTGGACTAATGACTCTAACAACACCACGTGATCCTGCCACTGCTAACAGCGGTTTGCCAGAATCATCGTAAGTCCATGTACAAGTGTAAAAATTTTCTTCAGGATCAGGATCTGCATAACACTGGCGTAGTCTAATATTACCCCCTTCTGGACATTCATAAATGCTTACTCTATTACTTCCCACGGAAGCAAATATTAATGGTTCACCTTCTTTTAAATGGTGATTAAACTGTACTCCAAACAATGGTTGCCCATGATCTTCTTTAACACTACAGCAATATTTATAAAGGGGTTTATCTATGCAAGATTTGTATTTTACAGTTTTGCTTCTACGTCGACCTTTTCTTCTGTAACGAGCACTGCGGGTAGGTGTATCACTACGATGAGTACCAGCTGTTGAATTACTACCAATACTACATTCAGTTTCATCACTGTCATTTTCACTGTCTTCTTGACTGGAAGCATATGTTTGACCCTTGCTATTAGTCTTTTTCATTTTAATATTCTTCAATACACAACATTGACAGTATTAAATAGAAAGTCCAACAACAGGAAATCCACTAACGACACCTAATACAGCTTCTGCTAAGTTCAATATTCTGTTACCTAATTGAACACAACTTTGTGGTTTCTGAAAGGAATATAAAAGTTAATATAACACGAAAAGTACAAATTGATATTAAAAAAATGTAGGAACATACAGAAATGTTAGCAGATAAAAATTTAATATTATATTTGTCTCGTATCTTTGCTGATTTATGGGAAATCAGTCCCATACTATTTGAGATATCCTTGCAGTTTACTAAGCACACAGTACCAGATATTATATAGTGTTCATCTATGAAACTTATGTTTTTTTCTACCTTAAATAAGAATTAATTTTGTATAAACATAATTATTGTAATTCAAATTAATTAAAATGAACTACATATTTACTTCGGCTAAAGACTGGGATCTCCAATCAAAGACAAAAACAATAAAATCTACTATGAGATTGAAATTTAATTTTACAATTTCAATAACACATTCACACTGATGCACCATAACGTTCCATTGTTTTTCTTTTGCGCTTTGATGTAATCCTTCAGATACCTTGTTGCATAATTCTGCTGGTCCTATGACCTACAATAATTTTCAATGTTATAAATTCATTCTACGTAATAAAGTACCAAAATAATCTGTATATTTAACCTCAGAAGCACATCTTGGACTATCTATAATGAATATAGATTGAATAATGTTAATGTAATTGATATTTTAGTACTTTAAACATTAGTGTAAATTATGGGGTGTTGAATAAGTTACAAAAAAATACATATGTGCATCCACTGTTAAACATCAATATAACACCGAATATGTGATTTATACTATTATCCTCGTTATAACAGAAAAAGTTATACATAATTTTAAATAATTATTAAAACAATTACATAAACCATATTTTGATTTACATAATAAGGAAAATACGTAAATGTATATACATATGAAACATCCTTATAATAAACTCAAGAAACAATAACAATATTACTAAAACTTAATTTAAAGGTGTAAGAACACACAATTACACAATATCTTGAACTAAAATGAGATAGGATTCTTTTCAATATAAATATTGATAAGTAAATGCAAAATTAAATTTTGTATTTTGATTTTTACTTATCAAATCAGTGACATGTTTCATAAAACCGAACACTTACGCTTAGGAAAATCAAATAGAATAAAGTGAAATGTACGATAAAAAGATTTAAGCATTATAAACGCACCAAGAAAGACACTAAACAATCATTTTGGCGTTTACCAAACTTAGTGAGAATCCCAGCCATATCACATTTTTAGCGCTTAGCAGAGAAACATATATTTAACAAACATAACACAGTACATATGGTTCAACCGTTAAATAAAATACAGTGAATTCCGGGTATATATTATATTATACGTATGCGTTAACAACTCATATTTGCTCATATCTTATACCCTTCCCGAATTCTATCCTTTTTGTTTTTCTATTCGGAAAAGTAAAAAACTCAGCCATTCACTTCAATGCACTTTAATACTCACGGTACTCATAATACATGCGCCCTCTACTTTTGTGCACTAACAGCTATTTGAATTGCATGAAGCCTCATAGGATATCACCATTGTGTAACATTGCCTTTATGTGAACCGAATTCAAAAACATACACCACCGAACAAAATAAATGTTTATCCCATTTTTGTCTCCCAAAAGATACTACGAAAAACACATGTGTACTAAGTAAAATACATTTTTTTTAATTTAAATACAACATTATATATTTTGCGCTTTTTGATGTTCGGTAACATTCATAGCTTAAAATTCACTGGTTTGGCGCTGCAATCAGTAGCAGATATCAACACGTTAATGCATCTAATACGCGTATAGTTTCAGACTCTAAACTTTATAACCATTTTGTGCATTGTTCGAGCAGCTGTGCGAAAATATTACTTATCATTTCGTTCCGAAGTGTCAAAACTTGGCTGATAGTTGTCGTCCAATGTACGCGTTTCTGTTACGAATGTGCAATCATCATACGAAGAGACGTTCCTAAACCATTATCATATACGTAATCCGGAGTCATCCACAAATTTTGTGAAACAAAGAACTTTTCAATATCTTTTATTAACCTTGGCCTGGTCGTCATAACAGTAAGTATCGTCTTCCGAAGAAGTTAAAAATAGTTCAGTTTAGCGAAAAGACTGTCGTACTTATGAAATAGTTTTCCAAATTGTAATGTTGCTCGATCTGTATAAGATATCGGGTTTCGTAATGTAACGTTTAGTTTTTATCTCTTACGAAACTCTCGAATCTGCTTCCTGCTTCTTGAAACGTCATTTTAATGTTTTGTTTGATGCAGCGAAATGATTGCGAATGTATGCTATTATGAACGTTTTCAGCTGAAATAGATAAATGTATCGTCACGTCACGTATACGTGTTATTCTTTCTAAATTTTTGTTAAGGTTTGACATTATTATGGTAATAAAATGAACGATAGAAGATGTAAAATTTTAATTAAGTTTATTTCAAGTAGAATATGAGAACACAGACAATACAAGTCAAATATGTAAATACAACAAAAGCATCACATTAACCATGTAATTCATAATCAAACAGGATATATTATAATATTACATATTTTTAATACTTTCAGATGATTGAAAAAGAGTGAAGGCAATATGCGTGAAGTGAAAGCTATTGCATAAAACCCTCCAATTTACATAAACTAAAGGCTCTTGTTTAATAAAATTTCACCAGCAGTTCTGGTGTATTTTACAGTCATACAATAGGTCAAGCAACGATGTAAGAAGTATCTTGAGATGTATTTGATTTCCATTGGTCCACTAAATTGAAAACTGTGTTGATCCTGTGTATAACTCTGGTTAGTATAATGATCTTCGTTAAATATTTATGCTTATAGATTATATATATGATGATTTATGCAGTATTATATAAATTACAAGACATTAATAATATTTAAAGATGCAGAAAAGATACAAGAATTATGTTAAAAAAGATTTTATATTTTTTAGGGATAATTGCATATTAAATAACTGATATTGCAGATATTTCATAATTAAAGAGAAAATAAAGATTTGCTTGAATAAATGTTTTATTTTGTAGAACAATTTATCAAATAATTAAAAAACAAAATTGTCACTGTACAAGAATGTTTAATGTTAGGACGTACAACTTTCAGGCTTTAATTTGTAATGTTCATTATTTCAGTACACATTGTTTTGACAACTTAAACTTACCACAATGAGTAACGAGCCACCAAGTTATAGTCAGCCATGTGTTACTACATGGATGGAAAAAATGAATAAAGGCATACTGTCAGGTACTCATTTTAAAGAACATTGGAGAATCTGGGTTCCAAAAATATATAGTCCAAAGCTGACCAGGAATTGTTTAGAATGGAACTTTGATGAAGAGGAAGCACAAAAAGTACTGTATTACACGCTAGAAGAATTTATTTGCAATGGAGACCCACAAACTGCTTTGAAACATCTAAGTCAAATAGATAGCAATATATGTGGTAAAGTATTCGGGTCGGGAGAACCTACGTATTCTTGCAGAGAATGTGCTAATGACATAACTTGCGTTTGGTGCGTGGACTGTTTTAAGCAATCGGTTCATCGTCATCATAAATATAAAATGGGCACATCCAGCGGTGGAGGATGTTGTGATTGTGGAGACATAGAAGCTTGGAAAAGAGATCCATTTTGTAATTTACATTTACCTGGAACGCAGAATAAAGAATCTCGTGGAAACAAGTTGCCTGGTGATATTGCAGAAAGAGCAGTAGTAACTTTTGAGGCAGTGTTAAGGTATTGCTACGACATGCTGTCTTTAGAACACTTAAGTGTACCCGCTGACTTGCAAGTCAAAGACAAAGATAATGATCCTTTCTCTATTTCGGACAATTATTGTACAGTCCTATTTAATGACGAGACACATACATTTGACCATGTGATCAATACACTTACGCGTGTTATGAAGTGCTCGCAGAGAGATGCATTAGAATTTGTAACAAATGTTGATAGAGAAGGTAGAGCTGTCGTGCAGTGTTCTAGGTTTAAGGATTGCGAAGATTTGAAATTCGATATTGAAAGATATACTTCGAGGCAGAGCAGCCGAGCACTAAAAGTCCTTGTGGTTCATGATCTTGTGATTGCTCATCAAACATTTGCCATGAAACTGTTGAATTGGCTACAACAATTTATAAATTTCTGTGAAGGTTTCAGAGTGCTTTTCAGTAATGTTGCGCTGAATACGAAATTACCGGATATTTCCATTGTGGACGGTATACTTATGAGAGATTCGCAATTGTGGAAGTCTGCTAGAACAGCATGGCACAGATTATTTATGTCTGGAATGCTTACAGAGTATGAGAGCAAGAAAGCATTAGCGATTGTCTTTACTCGTAATTATGGATCTGTTATGAAAGATTTTATAAGGGATGATCATGATCATATCTATTCTATTGTTTCACTGTCGGTGCAGTTATTCACTGTTCCAACATTGGCGCATCACCTTATTGCACATCATGATGCGTTTTTTATCTTGTTGAATACATTTACTTCTGAAATTCTACGAAGATGTAATGCAGCAGGAAAGTTAGAGTTTGACAGAGAACCTCCACATTCTACTTTTAGGAGAGCTCAACATATACTTTTTGATTTACGGTACTTGCTGAATATTAAACCAGATGTTTGGAATGATGATCTGAGAAATGCATTCTTGCAAGGACTTCCACTTTTACTGACTTTATTTTGTGGTATGCAATGCATGGATGCGGTGCTGAGACAAGTTGGTCAACATATGGAGTATGAACCTGAATGGGAAACTGCTTTTAATTTACATGTCAGACTATCTCCAGTTATTGGTCTCATACTCGAATGGTGTGGTTCAGATCGAATTGTTTTAATAAAGTCTATTAGAATGGTTTTAAAAAAATTATACGAAGAACCAGGGCATGAGTTTGGTCCGACTCAAGTGAGAGAATTAGCAGATCACAGTGCAACATGTATCCAATATGATGTGTCGTCTGAACCGGTGTCTATACACCTTCCGCTCTCCAGATTTTTAGCTGGTCTTGTCTTGCACCTTGAAAAGCATAATTTGCATTTCCAGTGCGAAGAATTTATTAATCAAACGAAACCAACACCAGAACGGATAATAGAACCTGTGTTGGCCGCTCAAGTAATGATTTCACAGGTATATGCTGGTATGTGGAGAAGAAATGGATATTCCTTGGTGAATCAATTGTACTTCTACCATAATGTGAAATGCCGCTCAGAAATGTTAGACAGGGACATTGTTTTGTTACAAGCTGGAGCATCTTTAATAGAAAGTAATGAATTCCTGATTCACATTTTGAATAAATACAATCTTCTGCATTGGGCGAACCCAGATTTTGAAGCAAATGCTTTAAAAAATCTTGAAGAAGACAGCATTAGACAGACTATTAATTTGGTTGAAGAATTTTTAGGACTGCTGATAACCATAATCGGAGAAAGATATGTACCTGGAGTTGGGCAAGTTACCGCCGATGACCGTACAAAGAAAGAAATAATTCAACAATTATGTATTAGACCGCTTTTTCATTCAGAGATTAATAAAACATTACCAGATAATCTACATTTACAAAATAGAATGGAAAAGGTAATTCATGAAATTGCAGATTTCAAGAAGCCTTCGCAGTCATCAGTTGGAAAGGGAGTGTATCAACTGAAACCGGAATTTTATTCCGATTATAATGTTTTCTTCTATCATTATACAAAAGAGGAATTAAGCAAATCTGAAGAGGCACAGAGAAAACGAAAGCAAGCTTTGGGAGAATTAGAATGTTGTCCACCTCCTAAACTTCCTCTATTAACAGAAGTGTTTAGCTTGTTAGCGAATTTACTCCAATGTGATGTTATGTTACATATTATGAAAACTGTATTGGAAAGAGCACTTAATTTCATGGCTCGCAGTTTCTCAGAGCCGCAAGTGCACAAAGTTTTACATCTTATTGGATATGCTCTCCAAGAACAAGAATCTGGTTACTATCCTTTTCTTGCTTTCCCCGCGAGAGCGGCAAAATGGAACATTTTTAAATTGTTGGAAGATTTACGTAACAGTCCACGTATAGAAGCTCATAAAGATTTATTGACATGGGTTTTACTGAAGTATAGAGAAGTTGCTGGTAATACTGCGGAAAGTAGTAATTCGGTAGTCCCGGTCGATGTAGAAACTGCGAGTGATACTGAGAGTAAAAAGAATGACAAAGAGTGGAGAGCAAATATGGCAGCCCAGAAACGTGCGAAAATAATGGCCCAAATGGCAGCTATGCAGAAACATTTTATGAAGAAGAATTCTGAGCTTTTTGAAGTAACTGCTTTAGACGCGAACAAGTCCAGTGATCGAGATTCTACTGTAGATATACGTGAATGTTCCCCAAAAACACGCGTCGCCCTTGGTGTGGGACAAACAGCAAGAATGTCTGAAGAGAAAACTTATACTTGCATTTTATGCCAGGAAAGTCAAACTGTAACAGCGTCTGGTCCAGCAATGGTATTAGCCGCGTTTGTTCAACAGTCTACAGTATTGTGTCAATATAGAGGCGATTCACCCGATGAACCTGATCTATTGTATCTTTCTGCAAAATTAGGCGCGTCACCACATACCAGCACTTGTAGTCATGTGATGCATAAAAATTGTTGGCAGGAGTACTTTGAGAACGTCTTTATTAAAGAGAATAGAAGGCCTTTCCGCTTACGACAGCCTGCAAGTTTTGACGTGGAAAAAAATGAGTACCTTTGTCCACTTTGCGAATGTCTTAGTAATACTGTCTTACCTCTCTTACCACCTTTAGGAATATTACAACCAACGTCTCAAAACCAACCTGAGCTTGATTTTAGTACATGGGTGGAAGGTTTAAGAGTAATAGAATCGAATTTGGAAGAGTTTTACATTCATAATTCGGAATGTATGCATCGCGAAACTTCCCTGGAGCAGAGATTGTATTCATGCCCTTTAATGGCTACTGGCATAATCTTTAATGAACTTGGAGAGTCAACGGCACAAGCCTTTCAAGCAATCTACGATGGACATGGTCCAACTTTCTCCGAAAATTTAATATTAAAGATACATCTTTTCGCTCAGGCAACATATACAAAGGGATGTGGAAAAGAACTACAAGAAGTCAATGATTGGGTCCCATTATCAGTATGGAAATCAACAGCATATACTATTCATGCCATAGAATTTCTTCTACGCGATATGGATAAGCCATTATTAGGTGCTCTATCGTCTAGGCAAAGGGATAGTATTGAGGGTCTTGCTAGAATTTCAGCTGTTCTGGGATCTACGTGTGTGATTAATTCCGGTCCAAATGTGTTATGGGCGAATAAAGAAAACATTGCGAATTATGCTCTTTCCTATTTAACGGCGTTATTAAATAACTCGGATGAATCATCGAGTATCTTAGATTGGGATTCATTTGGAATATTCATTCCATTAATCAATTCATTGCCAACTCTCTTCAATACGAAATTTGATAGATCACCACTAATCATTACAGGTGGAATCGGTGAATTTTACGCCTTGCAACTTATATTTCTGTCTCTAATAGTGAAAATATTATTGACATCAGATTTCAATGAAGGAATGGACGTGGAAAGTCAAGAAGTAACTCAAGATACATCCTCTGAATCGATCTTGATGTTGATTCAAGCCCTAGGCATTAATATTGGCATACAATCAGTTTCTGAAATATGGAGACGAGTCAAGGAGGCTTCTATGCCCTTCCTTAGATGTTGTGCTCTTTACTTTCATTATATAACTGATGTTCCAGCTCCAGAGGAATTAACTAAAAAGGGAGAAGCTACATATGAAAATATCTGTGCATATTTGGGATTACCAACGACGTGTGATGAATTAGTGAAGCCAAATTTAGATGTTATTATGCAATTGATAAATGTTTGGAAAAGTCATCCTTCTGTTCAGGCACATTTGACTGGTGCTGGTACAGTCGTAGTATTAAGGGAACCTTTGAAAGTGAATAAATTGGTTGAGCTTCCAGAAGATTATAGTGAAATGATAAATATGACATTAAAACACACATGTGCCAATAATGAACGAGAGCATTCTAAGAATCCGACAATGTGCCTGGTATGTGGACGAATGTTATGTTCTCAAAGTTACTGTTGTCAAAATGAATTAAACAAGATGACGGTTGGTGCGTGTACATATCACGCGAGTACATGCGGCGCGGGAATCGGGATATTTTTACGAATACGGGAATGTGAAATTCTGTTCTTGAGAAGTCCAAATCGAGGATCGTTTGTTTGTCCACCTTACCTTGATGAATATGGAGAAACCGATGAAGGTTTACGAAGAGGAAATCCGCTTCGCTTATGTCATGAAAAATACAAAAAGTTGAATCAACTGTGGCTGGGACATGGACTACATGAATCCATATCAAGAGCTGTCGAATCATCAAATAGTCTTATGTCAACACGATGGCAACATCTATAACCATCTTAGGGTTTCCTATGCAATCTAGCCTGGACATTTAGTTGAAAATACTAAATCTATACTTAGCATAAGCTACTATAGCAGCTAATATTATAACTGTTAATTAAACTGTTTGATCATCGCAAAAATCTGATAAAATTATTTATTTTGAGAATACAGTGCAGATGGCTTTAAAACATTTAAAACGATTGGATGTTATCCCCGTTGCGATATCGTTTTAGATTATTTCAGAGTTTACGGAATTTTCTATTACTATTATGTAAATTAAATATAAATTTCTTTATTAACAATATGTGGTATGAACTTTGTTGCTCGTAGAAATTAAGTTTTAATGTAATTCAACTGATTGTCACATTGTTTGAGGAATTCTAGGATTATATGATTAATTCAAATTGTGTGAATGATAAAGTTTTTTGTCCTAACTGTTTTGAAGTACTATTATTAATATAAATTTTCTTATTATTTTACACAAATACTATAGACGACGTTGAAAATGTTTCATGTCATAATCTGAATACATAAGATTTCATACTTGGGTGCATTAACAGTAAGTGGACAATTTTGGTTTTAGAAATCTGTAAACAGTAACATATGAACATAAAGGAAAGACATAAAAATTAAAATAATTTTTAAAAATTAAAATGAATAATGTGACACGATATTTGTTTTCTAATTGCTAGTCTCTTGGTTCAATATAATTAAAATAACAAAGTATTTAAATGATTGATACTTTTTTCTCACATAATGTTAACATTTTTATATCAATTAGATTAGTTTCTTGTTTTTAATACAGCATTGTATTAACTTGTATGTTGTGTAGTTATTTAACATAGGATTATTTACATATAGATTTACACCATCAGAAAGATATGTAAATAATATGACCCTATCAATTTATGAAACTTAAACGTGTTTATATCACTATAAAAGCATGCATACTTTCAACCTTGTTTATGTGTGACACATTTTGATAAATAATAACACTAATTCTTTATAATGGAATAATTATATGTAAAATGTTTTAAAAAAAATGGTTTCAGACATTGTCAATGAATAATAATAGAATGCAATGAAATTTCAAACAAATTCATACGTTTTGTATTTTAATTATTTCCAGTGTTATGTGAAAATACTGTTCGTTTTTACGTATTATTTTCAGTATTTCTTGTCTGTTTTATTATAATTTTAAAAATTGTTGTCAAGTGGATTTAAATAGAATGTGATTTGAGAATTTTAATATACTACTAAAATATTTGTTTCTTATTTATTATTTGTTATGAAAAGTTTTAAAAAAGTTTGCATGCTTATTTGAATTTTGTTTTCATATGTTCTATGTGTATGTAAGTAGATACAAAGAAACATTTCGAAGGAAATGAAATACTGTTTTAAAACATTTTTTTGAATGCCTACATGCATAAAAGAAAAAACTGTTACCAAATAAAATAAAGTGTTTAACTATTAAAAGATATAATTTTAATTTAAATATATACGTCATACATAGTACATGCACACATGCATACAATCCAGACGAGGCTCAGCTGTGGTACGTACGTATATGATGTACCTATTTATTATATGTCCATATGTATGGTATGTACACACTATGTATGTATACATAATTTATGAAATTCGATATTACCGACAGTTGGTTATAATCTCAAATACCATCAGAGTTAGTAAAACTGAGTAAAACAATGAAATATGTACATACATGTATGTATCTATTTATATACATACATACATTATATTTAAGAAAGAGTATGCATAAAATAATAATTGTACTGAAGCTGTATGAATTGAAGATAATACATTATCAATTCTCATTGGTTAATAATCTCTACAGACTTATTTTTAAACACCCTCCATAAATTATTTAAATAGTAAAAATAGTAGTTAAAAGCAAACAAATATTAACATTCAGCGTGGAAGTGTAATTACTAAGTAGCATAAACTAATGCTACTCTATGTCAATGTACGGAATTGGAAAACTCGACATGATTCGCGTAATGCGTACATAGTTAATTTTGGACTGCCATGCTAACCTCGAAAAACAGTTATGTATGCGTAAATTTTACATATTTAGAAAAGCATATTTAGTACGCAGAAGAATCTTTTCTTGGGGAAAATTCGATTGATTTATCAAATAGAAGGATGAAATTTTCTGGAAAATCCTATATAATCCTGAATTAATGCACGTATGAATATGCGCAGCCGCAGGAGATAAAAGATATCGTTCGGGCCGTCGTGAAGAGGATGGGTCGCAGTGTTGCGTAGTAGGAAGGAAGATTGTTTCATTGGTATCAGGATTCGTTTTTTAATCTTATGAGAGAAAACGGTACGATGACGAGTGTGACTGGTTCACGATGGTACGTGCACTGTGCGGGCACGTCAATGGAAAATGTCAGGACTAAGTGTACGAGCGGTGACAATGAATTGTGATCCTAGTAGTTCTCCTCGTTTGATAAAAGGGTCCTTGTTGGGCACTGGTTCCTTTCCTGGTTGTTTACGTTTATACTCTGTAACACCGGTCTATCGACACAGTCAACCGTGGAATGGCAGCAGCCTTAAAAAAGAATCATTCACGCAGAAGGTTGGCCGCCCTAACTTTTCTTTCGAACATCTCCCTCGATGGCAGCCACCGCGACACCAAGTTAGCTGTTCTATCGCGAAACGGGCCTGCTCATACACGTACCCTCAGCGACAGTCAAGCTCATCAGGCTGATGTTCGTCAAACCGATCTAGACGTTTCCAGTGAGGAAGTTCTTGATGATAGTACAGAAGACCGCTTGATCCATTCATCTGCCAAACAGACATCCTCACCACAACTGGTACAGAAGAATGCTGAACATAATTCATTTAGTTCAAATTCTGATGGGGTATTGACTCCTGCGAAAGCAGCAGTGGCTGCCTTTCTTGAACAGGAAAGAAGCTATCCACATATCCCCACTGGATTTCATAGTTCATTCAGAGAACGGTAAACAGTCCTTTTAGTGCCACAGGTTATATGAACGATATACTTTGCTCCACTTTGTAAAATTCTTGACAAAAGCTTTGTCTTCTTGTTTCTTGTAATTTTCTGTTTTCATTGTTTGTGTTTGTAACGATCATGTAAACAGTTACTTCTTTTGATTAAAGTAGAAAGCAAAGCAAATTTAATATAAGATCACAGTTTTAAATACCAGAAAATTCTTTATACTTGCATTTTTAAGACTATATTGTTCATTTTAATATACATGTTACTATTGAGTTGAATAATTTTCATATGTGAACACAATAATGAACTCTGTGAAAAATTCTTCGTAGTCCTAGTAAAAATAAATCGTTCTATAATTCTGTTAATCATTGTGTAATTTTATATTGCATGTATTATTGAATTTAATATCGTTGAATCTAATAAAAGCCATGGTGTCATCAATATATGTATATATGTATGTATGTATGTATATTCATATATATATGCATTTAAATAATGTTTTATACACATAATAATGAGAGCTTATTTGTTGACAATAGCAATATCACAAATATTTTTCTTTTAAATGAATACATATATCTAATTATACTAATTCAATTGAAGAGAAGTACTAATGACATTGTCTAATACACTAAGTGTATTACCTATTGTATGATGTAACTCTTATACTATAGAAAATCACAATAGTTACTAAACTTATGAACGTATATGATTACTTTCAATTGAAATTACTTTGATTTAATTAGTAATTACACGATTGAAGAAAATGTGTTTTAACTAAGTTATAACTGAAATTTTTTAATTTCTGTAATGAAGAGCCAGTAATAGAATAAATATAATATTCAAGTTTTATGAGATAATTACTATACAATTACTATATAATAGGTGACAGAGAAATAATGTATATATTTGTTCTTTAGTACCGGCACTACTGGCAGTGAATATTCTTTACCTGAAAGACGTGTGGGTTCCTTGCAATATAAAAAACGTATAACTCATCAAACATCTACACTTTCGGAAGATATTAAGCATCAGTATAATAGTTCTAATGAGAGTATTGGTTCTCTACGTTCTAAATCGCAATCATCAAAATCAAAAACAAAGGCATCAAACAATACACAGTCTGGATGTACAAATAGTGGTATAATACCAGAAGTCACGCGGGAGTTGCGTTTAATGCAACACCCTATAAATGGTTACAAATTTGGAGATGATAGACTGGTTTTGGTTTCTAATAAACATGTGCCATTCCTAGTATTTTCTGCTCTTCCATACAACAAAGGACAAAGATCTAGTTGGTATGTTAAAGCATGTTTATTCTGTTATGAAATTTATTAGATACATGTTTTAAACGGTATGAATATACATTTGTCATTACAAAGTTTTGTCTTTGTTATTTTCAGGTCTGAATTGCGTAAAGATACGGGAAGAAGAAAAAATATTTCTTCGCAGCGACCGTTATCTGCAATCAATGATAATATTGATCCATTTGGTTTGTTAGGAATAGAGCGCGCTAAAGACGGCCAGGTATCGAATTTAAATAAGTGAATAACATTTCGTGTTTAACACCGTAAATAAGCTTAATATATTTCTTCTAGGAAATATCTTATGGACAATTGCTTGTTCCATCCAGGCAATTTCAAAAGGATAAAAAATTACACTTTAGCGATAACGAGGCAATAGAGTTTACACATGTTATACCTACCAAGCATCCTATGGTTTCAAGGTACACAGTGCAAAGATTTACATCTATTTATAAATTATTATGCAAGAGGATTATAACATCTTAAAAAATGATAAAATGATTTTATTATTCATAGTTCATACAAATTTTTACATTATACATTGTCCTTTTACCTTCATTCATATGTCCCGTATTTCATTACTATATCTTCACAGAAAATGCATTACATTATTTGTTTATTTTATAACAAAATATTTCAACCCTATTTTTGCAGGACAAAAACTATTACTTGGAATGTGGATCACTCAAAATGGTAAAAACTGTAACAATATTGTATTAAAAAAGGTTCACATAGATATGTGTTGTCAAAATATGAATTATGATTTATGCTTTAATTTATTTTGAGAGAAATAAATTTCAGTAAATACAACTAGGTATACATTTCTTATTTTGATTGCATACACAAGTTGAGTCACATAAGATTAGAATATAAAATATTTTCATATCTTTTAATATTGTGAGAAAATGTGTAAGGAAGAAAAGTATTCGTTTTGAAGGAGCAAGGCCGTATTTTCAAAGATTGCAAGGTCACTTACATTTTTTTAAAGTAAATTGACATACTTTCTTTATAGTGGTATTGTAGCCATTGAAAAGACAAATTCATCGATGTATATGTTAATCCTTAAATTTAGATGATTTCTTAGAAGTAATTTGTATGAAACAATATAATACATAAAGGTGATGTGCATGCTTATCGATGATTGTCTCTTATTTCCAGACAATTTGCGGTCATTTGAATGTCAACATATATATCGGCTACAATTACAATATTACAGAAATAAATCGTGTAATCTCAGAAAATATGACTTCAAGAAAAAAAAACTTTATCACAGGACCTGACCTTATGAAATGAATACATTCTTTTTTATACATTTCCTTGTAATATTAAAAGTAATTGGGATGTTTTAAGTTCTAATCTTACGTGATTTATTTTGTGTATTGTATTATGTAGATCTAGTATTACGTTTATGTATAAAGTTTTGTTTATTGTAATTTTATTATTCTATTGACATAAACAAGTCGAGATATAAATGAATATATATTTTGCTACTTAAGAAACAAATTTATAATTGAGGGATTGATTATGACATTAATTACATGTTTATTAAAGAACTTTGTAGGAGATGGATATTGTATAATTTATAGAATTATCGATATGCTTCGTAGAATGAGTCAAAGTAATATTTTTTTCAAAATGAGTCAATAACTTCAACGATAGTGTATAAATAAAATGTTCAAACATTATCGTTCGCATACATACATTATCACATTTTCATTTATACACATACATGTCTATGTTCATACTTCATATAATAAAATAAAATTTTATTTAGTATTATATATTTGATATCAAAAATCATGACAAAGTAAATTGTTTAGTGCATGCTATTCTAAATGGAAAATTGACTATTGTATTTTAGTATAAAGTAATCTGTTACAGGTGCTTGTCTTACGATACAGCCACACATCGTGCTCAACATTTAACACCTGAATCTCCTCCACTATCTTTTAGTACTGATTCTAAAGGTATATAATCATGTAATAAAATAAAACTGTTAATATGCAAGATATATAGCAAATAATCCCTTTAATACTTTAGCATATGATTGGGATGAACAATCACTGCAGTACAATCCCAATTTATTAGATGATCCAGAACTCATAGCTGGCAAGCATAGAACATTACTTACTTTTACATCATATATGGTATATGCTGCTATAAACTTGTCATTAACAATAATACTAATTTATTTGACTGTTAAATATTTATCATCTCTTGTATAGGCATCAGTGATTGATTATGTACGACCATCTGATTTGAAGAAGGAATTAAATGATAAATTTAAAGAAAAATTTCCACATATTCAACTTACTTTGAGTAAGTTAAGAAGGTCAGCATTAAAAGGGGTAATAAATGTTGTGTGTATTACATTTATAATACATAAATTAAGAATATAATATTTTATACAGTTTGAAACGAGAGATGAGGAAAATAGCAAAAATAGAGTATGGTATTGATCTGCTGACAGTAGCAATGGCTTACGTATATTTTGAGAAACTTATTCTTCGAAATATTGTCACCAAACAAACACGAAAATTATGTGCTGGTGCATGCTTACTTCTGGCAGCAAAACTGAATGATGTGAAGGGTGATGTACTTAAATCATTATTGGAGGTATTTATTAAGAATATTACGTATTTTTTTACTAATTTATAGTATTTTATTGTGTAAAGGAATTTCACAGAAAAATATAATGTTACATTACGTAATTTTTAAATGATTTCCAGAGAATTGAAAGCGTATTTCGTTTAAATCGTAAGGATTTGATAACATCTGAATTTGCTGTTTTGGTAGCCTTAGAGTTTGGTTTACATCTCCCAACATGGGAAATATTTCCGCATTACCAGAGATTGATTTATGAGTCTTGATCTTCTTTTATGATGTTTCATTTGCACAGAAGCAGAACGGTTTCATTGTAAAGATGAAATTTTCTAAACAATTATGTGAAGTACGAGGCGAAGAAGTTCTTTTTTTATATAAAAACGTACAAAGTTATAAACAACAAAAAAATCTGAAATTTAATAGATAATTCGTTACTTTATAACATAATCGGAAGGTCTGTATCAGGAATAGTTACAGATGTTTCGATAAATAAGAATTACATGGATAAGCTGGTATTCTCCGGTTTATTTATATAATTATTTAACATTGTTCGAAATTAATTTTATGTTCTATAATATTAGTGATTGAAACATTCATAACAGAAGTAACTGTACAACCAGCAAAATTTGGTGGTTTGCTAATATCCCATGTGCAAAAGGCTGTAAGGATTTCAAATATCGGTATGTACTTTTAATATATTTTAGAAAGTTAGATTTTTTTCTTTTGAGTACTTTTCTAATCAATGACTTTAATATATTCAGTTTTTATGAATAGGTACTTACTATAAGTAATAATTCTTTTCCTAAAGAAAAAGTGATTTATGGAAATAACGTGTTCTTAATTACTCATTCAGAGTTAGATAGTTTGAAACAGCCACAACAGAAATATGGCAACAGCGAACATTATAGTCGTTGCGGACATCACTAAGAAATTGATTTTACTTCATGTAAATATTTGTATTCAAAATTTTTATGCTACCATTTAAAGTCTATAATCAGATAGACAATCAAAAGTGCTCCTAAACTAAATTGGACTTGCAATAAACTATTCAATATCTTATCAATAAAAAATGATTTGCACCAAGTTTGAAACCTATATCTTAATCACAGTGGTAGTAGTAGGAGAAAATGTGATTTTCTGTTTTAGCTCTATTTCTCCTATTTTATTGCATAGCAAATTATAAAGCAAATCAAGGCATTTGTAATACACGTTCGGGCATTTTTTTTGAGTTTTCGGTTAGAAATCCTAGTTGTCAAACATAAAAAAAACATTAAAAAGTGTTAAGAAACACTGATTTCTTATAGAGATCTAAAAACATTTTAAAAATATTTTAATCTAGAAATACACATTTTGGTTGTCTAATGATTGCTATTTTTGTATATTTTTCTATTGTAAATCCAATTTGATTTAGGGATACTTTTGGCCGTTTTATCTTGACATTCCTTTTTTATTGCAAGGTACAATACTTTTTATTCTACGCTACTCCTTTTTTAAAAGAAAGTTTATTTTGTTTAGACGTTTGCTAGTTAAAAAAGAAGAGGTGCACCTATTTCATTGCACGAATATCAGGCAGTTGTTTGAACAAGTATTAGAAAATAACGATTAATGTATTTAAAAATCTTATTACTAAGTACTTATTTTTTTCTAGTTTACAATAATTTACTTTTGAGTATTATGTACCTTCAAAACGGTGAAATTGTATATTATATAACAATTTACAAAATTAAGTTACCTGTTAGTTTTTATCAAGTTATCGTATAATTGTTTGTGCTATTATGTTTAAATGGAAAATACCTTTTGGCTAAGAATAGGAATAACGGAAGAGGAAATAATTAAATACTCATAAAGTTATCAGAACATGAATATTTAAAAATTATATTTATCCGAATATCGTGTAGATTCAATTATATTCTCTTCTGCTTTTTTTATCTAGTCAAGATAAAAACGTAATTCGAACTTTCAGTATGCGTTGGAATTATCGAAGTAGAACAGAAAATAGTTACAGTTGCCTGATGCATATACGTATTTAAAGTGCTACTATGATCTTTATATGTGTGGTTAGTAAGAACATTGGTTAAAGTGAAAAAAATTGATCACTGTCATAAAGTGTTTGCATTGTACAATTTGTTTCATGGTAGTTTAAAAATAATATTGTATCTGTGGTATTGAAAAATACATACGGTGGGAAGTGAAACCACACAAGATATTGAAACAGAAATAATTGAAAATGATTGTGACACTGTTTCCAAATGGAAAAAACTCGAAAAATTGTAGTGTAATATATTGAAAAATTGTATGTACATGAATATTATTAAGTATTCTTTAAAATCCAAAGTAAAACACCAGTGTGTGGTGCTATAGTGTAAATTTTGATTCCTTATAACCGGTATAATTGCCGTAATCGTACTTCATAAATAATATAAAAGAATTTACAGAGGAATGTTTCAAGAACTTAAACAGATATTTTTATATTGCTTTTTGTTTCAATTTTCGTTTCTGTTACTTATTCGAATAAAAGGTAACATAAATTTTGGATATACCAGATATTATTTATAAAAGAATGATATTGTAGTGGCGTCCGTAAAATTTTGTTCGTGATCTTAATTTTTTAACACTTTGCGATGTCTAAGTAATATAAAAAACGTACTTACGTGTTTTGTAAAATATGTGTACAGAAATCGATGGCAGTATTTATCACGTTTGTATGTTAAGTTTTAATTTGGAGTTCTATATTAACGCGTTATGTTGTGAAATTTTATCGGAGACACGTGCTTGTTTTTATTATTGTACATATTAGTATATTGTAATGAAATTAGCAACGCGACATTAAAGATAATATAAAAGGTACTATTTTAACACTTTTAATTGGATAATTATTAATAAGTCACAAACGTCATCGTAACACCGAAAGAAAACAGAGATAAAGATTTCTTAAACTTTATCATCTTTTAATTTTTTTTATATCCAAGATATCTAAGAGCTGTAACATAGGACATATTGTTTGCACGATTTCAAAATTTGTTATTAAACATTATAAGTTATAGGCTTTTAGTGGAAATAATTTTTTAATTTTCTGTGTGCATAAAGATTTATTTATACGCATATTGATGTTATTGGTTTACTTGAACTTTGTTTTTTTAAACGGATTAAATGAATTAGTGGTTTATGTTCATTTATATAAAGATCTTCTTTTTGCTCAAATCATTTAGAGTTATCGGCATTAAAATGTACATTTAGGAAACTTGCTACATACGATATATACGTTCATGTACCGCCGACAGTGAGTTGTAGTTATTGTTATGTGATTATTGCAAAACGTTTGATAGCGTATAACATTACTATTTATATACAGCCCCCACAGAAATTTTCGCTTGTACATTATTTGGTTATCCAGCAAAGCATTACCAACAAGAACCATGGATTTGTAATTTTTATAGTCAATGTATAAATCCTAGAAACCTTTGATTCATAATTATTAAACTTCAACTGTCACGTTAAAAATGAATCCTTTTTCTTGTTTGTAATATGGGCAACGCGCTGAATGTGATTTATACGGCGAACTCATATACGTAGTGAGATTTTAGCACTTAGAACATGGGTGTATATAACTACGTCACGTCTGTACAAGTATCTTACGGTCAGGAAGGATTAGTTTCATATTTCTTTCCTATTCTATCATTTCCTAGGATTTATCAGGAATATTTCTCATCCGGTGCCATAAAGAATCAAGTACACAAGTTCGTGTAATATCTCGAAACCGTGGTGGAGCTGTAAATCTAGTGTATTCTAATATCTTAATTATATGATTCATATGTTTCAAGTACTTCCGTGTGTTCTATCAAGGAACCTCTATACAACTTAGAGAAAGTACTTGGATACTGTACATAAAACTTTCTTAACATTAGAGATTAAGTATTCATCCTGATCGGAAGCGTTTGCTGCGTATAAATTGTGTCAGAACCATCAACATCGTGTCCAGTTTAATAATGACTTTAAATATAAATAAAATAGGATATTCAGGGTAACTCTGTGTAGATTTGCAAAGGATCATCAATCCAACTGATTATCGCTGTTTAATATTTTCAACTTGATTCCTTTGATACTGTTCGAAGGGAAACTTCACACACTCATCGTAATTGCGAACCGCTCAAATATGTATTACGGTAATGTAATCCCACGAGTTGTCGCGTAACCTATCCTCATACTTTGGGACCGCTTTGTACAAGGCTGCGAAGGCAATACTGTTCACGTCAAATCTGTATTTTGTGTAGCAGAGATGGGCACAATTTTCAATTTTAATTTTGACATTTGAGTCGTTCATTTGCCAAATTGACATTAACTCGATAAAATGTAAACTTAAAATTTATTTATTTATAATTTATTTTAAATAGAAAAAGTTAAGCACCGATCAAATGCTTTGGTATTGAAATTTGAAAATATTAAAACAATCAAGTTAGTCACTTTCGTCTATGAACGGCTGATTTATACATATGTAGAAAATTGCTCATAAGATACGGGACCCAATTGAGTGATAAAAGGATAATACAAGGACAATGATGAACGGTCGTATAAACATTCGCCTTACTCGATCTTGTTTCTGAGTTGTAGTCATTTTTCTACTGCACTAACACCCGATGTTCTCAAAATGGTCGCCTTCGCCTTCGACAGAAGTATATCATCGTGTAGATACTTCACAATCTTTAGAAAATTCCTACTAAAAGAGAACATACTTGAGTGAACAATACAAACTGCTCCATGGAATCAGTTTGTCATTTAGAAGTATTAGTGGTACAAAAGTGTCTCTAACACAGCAAAAGCAAGGTAAAATATGATGAATGTTCGCATGAACTTTTCTCATTGCCTTTGCATTCTTCGTTCACTATTGAAGTCTGTCATATATGTTATGGAACACCTTGTATATCTACTTGTGTACAACGAAATCTTATTTTATTTATTTTACAATCAGGAATTTCTCATATGCTTTGTTCGATACTTTACAGATATTAATTTTGCCCATTTCTGATACCTTGGTACTGTATTCTAACGATTCTCGTTACTCGAAGCCCGGTTACAAAAAGTTACAAAAACACATCTGAGCTTTCTGTAGTGTACTTTGCGTGCGATAATACTGCGACTATGTATTGTACAGGAGACACACGATGGCTGAAAACTTGAGCCGATATCAGTTTTCGTTTATTCTCCCGATTCGATCCTAGCCGATAGATGTCAGAATGGTAATAGAGGAGGACGGACTTTGATACGAAACACATTTATAACGGCGATTTGATAGAAG